AGAGCGATGAATGAATTATTTAACATTTGGCTTCATTGAACAATTCCATCTCTAAGAACATAAAGGGGTGTAATCTAAGATGAAGAACAATGCCAAGTGTTCAGAACTCAACTAAAAACTCTGCCAAAGATTTGAAGTAACCCTGTTCCAGTAGTGGTTACAACTCACCATGTAGGGATGGGACCCTGCTTACCCATATAGAGTAGAAAACATGCTACAGGATCTCGGAACTTAGACTTAGAATCACTTTTTGACCATCAAAATTTTCAAACCTCAAAAGGTGACAGCAATTTTCTTAAGAATGTTAGTTTCAACAGCAAATATGACCCCAGTTATAAATCTTCCTTGTAGGTTAGGTAAATTTGAGCACACCAACCAACCCAACAGTCATGAAGTCATGAAATGGCCAACAATCACTTTGGTCAGTTGGTTTTCTCATAGCAATCTTATTATCAATACCAGAAGTCTGTCAGTGTCTCTGTTAGGGGGCCTTTCCTATGTTAAGTGGGGGGGGGGGGGGTTAAAACAAATATAGGATTAAGAAAATCGTTTATTTTTTTGTTTACCAACATACAAATTTTCGGACCAATAAAAAAATTGTTAGCCTATTAACAGATCTGATTTGTATGTCTATGAAGAGTGTTTTGTTAGAGCTACAGTGCAAGTATTTGTACAGGAAATGCAAAACTTGTTTTAAGAAAGGGGAATTCATAGCAACATTCTAAAACAGCCTTGCTGAAGTAACCCACGCTCCCCTTGTTAGGTGCATTACAAATAGATTGACATTACCTTGACATTTACAGTTCATAGTACCCCGTGCTTAGGACAACTCTATATCATTGTAGACCAAATAAAACCAGCATCAAGTCATTCAAAGTACAAGTTATCTGTATGGTCATCTATGAACTGAACAAAGGGATGCCATTGTCATTAGGTTCATTCACCTAAATAAAACAATTTGAAGAATTATCTAGCCTATAGTGACAGTCCAAATGACAGTCCAAATGTTGGGCAGAATGTAGGGCCAAAATGCATTCCAGAAGAAATCTGTCCAATGTTCATTATAGCCTAAATCATGTCTACATTCTTACAAACCTTGTTTCCTTTATCTGGGGATACTTTCTATTCATTATTTATATATAAATGACACACAGAAATCTAAATTTCCCAAACTAAAATATACCTTGAATTATAACAAAGTGCTTGAGTTCAGTTTTTTGTTCTTCAGTTTTAATGCCACGATAAATGATCGTTTGAACTGGTGATCCTATGTCAAATTACATTCTAGTTTTATTACTGAAAACCTAATGCCTGGGAGATAAGGGTGATAAGTCAAAGGTTACAACAGCATTGGACAAGAGCTATATAAAAAAAAACATTACCAAACCGGTTATTGAAACTAATCCCATGTTCCCTAAAGGGTTTAATTAATCATCACCATCAACTATTTCAAACAAGGAGGGAAGGGGGGAAAAAAGACTACCATATCATTAACAAAATATAAGAACAAAAGTATTGCTTCATTGAAATGTTAAAATCATGATAACACAGGAGCTTGCAGAGGAGACATCACTGCTGTGCTATTTCTCAAGGTCAGTATTTATTATGCTAGCAATGCAATGCTGAAACTGTACTGGTTAAGTATGAGCCGGTGCAGTCTGCACAAATTTCCTCGAGTTCTTTCATTTAGCAGAGGAATCAACTCATCAAAAGCACAATTACTTCATTAAATTAACTTTAAGCATTAATAAAACCTACACAATTTTACCAATGAGAAAGTCTACTTAAACTGATGGGAGTTGAAAAAAAAAATATTTAAAATATCACAACTTTTTGGGGGGAAAAATTACTTTGTCTACATATGGAATAGCACAATTTTGTTGTCTCAATTTACAAAGCACACATCGGACTGTATAGTCCGAATTAATGAGGACTTGTCATGGAGCTTGTGTTCCAAAACACCAGTAATCAATCAAGAGGGATACTTTGAATGAGGGCTGCATACAAATTTTCTCTCCTCTAATATTACCATGATGTTCCTTACTGGCCCTGGTTAAAGAAAAAACTATGAGACACTACACTGGCTTCTTATGGATAAACCTTGTGTTAATTTTCAAACTAGATTTATAACCTTAATCCCCAGTCCAACACCATGGTTTTTAGAAAAAATTATTTTTTTGTTAATGTATTAGAATGAGCATCCAAGGAACCTCCGGAGACATGATACCGATACCTGTGCTTAATTTACAACAAGAAATTGCACATCCAAAAGTGAGCAACAAAACAGAGAAGTCTAACCACAGTGAATTATATATCTATCTTCACCACAAATCAGATGGACAGTTACAGCATTCTCTTCATCTACAGCGGCTCTGATGAGCAAGTCAAACAAAGCAATACCAGTAAGTTCCTTGTTAACACTGGTGACAAATGAACATTGACAAAACAAGCACCTAATGAGAGGAAATCATGCAAGTACTGATATGTTATTAACATGAATTTTTCTTTCAAAACAGTAATATAAGGTGTCCATCAGAAAATAATTTGAAACAATGAGCCCGGTAAAAGAGGGAGGGAGGGAGGAATAGAGAGAGGAAGAAAGAGAGAGAGAGGGAGGGGGGTATGTCATTTCTTTGAATCAGGTGACAAAATTATGATTCTTTTTTTTTTTTACACAATAGATGTTACAGTGATGTACAGCATTCCTTATGTGAAATAGGTCAAATGTGACGTCACATGCACTATGACCACATCTATATACAAAAGCATCTCTCATGCAGGGATAGAGAGAATTCACTGCCCAGAATTGAACTGTATGGACATCTTGCATTACTGTTTGAAAAATTGCACTTCTGAGACAATGTATGCAGTGTTCCTTTAACTTTAACAGTGTTGATGAACATCTACTCAAGTTATTATGATGGAACAATGTGATCAAAGTTGGTCAAGCTCGGATCTAATCTCGGATAACTAAAAAGTTGAGTCTTGAAACTCTAGTAAGGCACAGTTTTGCTTCGTAACATTAAAAAAAATGCAATGCTCAAAAATTAACCATGGTTAAAGTTTCTGTTAATTTAGGTCATTTGGTAAAACCCCAAGTTAGGGTGAGACATTAATGGTGTACAGATTTATCTTTCTATACCCATTCAATGTCACTATGACCAATTCTATGATTGTAACCAAGACAATGTAACAGTAATTTATCCAGAAAATTTGTAGTAACACGTTGGCAATGATACAGTTTACATTCACCAAAAATCTTTTTTTAAAAACCACCTGACATTTTCCATATGAAATATAAAGGTGAAGATCACAAAATGTATTTTATCAAATTCTTAAAAATTTAAATGACATCAAAGGATGTAACTTTTTTTTTTCATAGCCTACACTTTAGAAGAAAATAATTGTACGCAAACAATGGAAATGTGGATACGTTATCAAACAACATAACCATAAATGTATTGTAGTGAAACAAATCCTAAAAGGGTCAGTCTTTAGTTGGACTTCAGCTTTAATTAGTTCATTTAGAACAAAGTAGAGCTCTAAAACTTCTTTTAATTCATTATTAAATATACATTTGATTATACTTTTAGCAGATTCTTGTTTCAGTGAATGTGTCCCACAGTTTAATAATTCAGTCCTTTTTAGCTTGGACATGTTTTAATATGTCCAGTTCTATCTCAGATTTTTTATATGCCTTTGCAAAATTTGCACAATACCATTTGCCTTTATTTTTTTGAAACTGTGTCCCTTAAATCCTTATTTACTTTTGGTGACAGGGTTAACTTTCCATTATCAAACAGCTCCGATCTAACTTGTGGTGAAGACTAAATAGGATAAAAATAGTTTCAAGTTGAGTTGGCACGTCTTTTCCGAGAAATAGAACAATTATAGGTTAAAAAATCTATCAACTTAACCAAAAGAAACAAAACAAAAAAAAAAAACATCATCCTTCATGCAACACAACTAACCTTCAAAAAGGTTACAAAATTTTGGAAAAAATATGTACAGAGAAAAAGCAAGATAAAATATGTTGATCTCACTGCAGTGTGTGCACTATGTGAAGATACTACATGATGAAAATGCCTCAAATTTAACTCCTTGTCTATCACTTTGTTAACAGCAAGTCAGTCAGCTTCATTATGCTTTAACCCAATAGCTGTAACCAAAGATTTCAAATCATCTATTATTTTTGCAGATCAAAACGGTGTTAATAAGCAGATGCTGAAAGAGATCATTACATTGGTGCAAAAATGAAAAGATTATTTGCTTTAGTATATTTAATGGCAATGTTTTAAGAAGGCAAAAAATATTTCAAAATTTTAACTGGTAGGAAAATGAAAATTGATACATCTCTAAAGTACGAGTCCTTATTGAATTGGGCTTGTGTTTTAACCATATCCTATAAGCCAAAGGCTTTAGAAAAGTTAACTTGTTCAAGCTTCTTTACCATCCATTGGTTTTTGAGACAACAATTACAATTTTGTAAGAAAGCTTTCACCTACTAAATAGTGACAATGGTCAACAAAGTTATAAATTATAGACAAAGAGTTAATCACAAGGGTCACATGACTTCATATGAATGTGTCAGTTCACAATCTTCACCACAAGTGAGTGAATCTAACTATTTTAAAGTCTTTAGCATAAACATGCATGTTTTATTTATTTGACAATTTTTTTCTTGAGACGAAATGTGAATTGCGAAAAGGTCAAATGAAAAGAAAGTGTGAATGGGGGCACCTGTGGAGTTTTGATATGGCCTGCTTTACAGTACCTACAACAAAAATATGCACACATATTTTACACTTAAATACTTTTTAAAAATATTCATATTACTTATACATGTTTTATTCCTCAAAGACAGGTTTACAAAAAAAAATAACAGCTTAAGATTACTAGTTTTCCATCTCATATTAAAAACCAAGTGTTCAATGTTCTAATAAAAAAAATCTTATAACATCAATGCTATTCTTTATTTTTTTTTTTTTTAATTTTTTTTTAAAAAGATATTCTTGATATATTTACTGAACATCCAGAATCAAACCTCCACAGAATGTTATGGTATTTCACTTTTCTTCCTTTCTTGTAGCGCCACACCTTACTGGTGCAATAGCACAACCTTCTGATGTGTTGTTCTGGTGAGATTCTTGACCCCATTTAATGTCAGCCGACAGTGCTTGTACAACTAACATTTCAGTTTGGACATATAGTCCACACATGCCGCGCAATGGAATGCGTGAACATTGACAGCCGTTCTGCAGCAAGAAAATCATTCAATATGGTGTTGAAGAATTCAATTTATCGTTGTCGTAGCCATATACTATTGGCACATACTGTTATTTTTCCTTGGAAATAAGAATCTATTATTTGCTGCTTATTACTACAGTCATATTAAATTTATTGTCTCATTCATAATATGAATTCAGCCATATGAACAATTTTTGCAGAGCAAAATATATGTCAAAAGTATGAAACGTAAGTGTCAATTTCAGCTTTTAAAAGAAATGAGTATTTCCACTAGAAATTATCGCATATTTTCACTGGTAATATTGCAATATTCACTTCCATTGTCAGCTTAATGTCACATGTGAGGGTCATGTCTACTTGCAATGTTGGCTGAATGTCCCATGTGATGCTTTAACTTGTGCAAGTAATTTGAACAATAAAATCTTCATTTCCTCATTATTTAAAATACATTATAGAATGAAATTAGACTTTCAGCCTGACGAAAAATATTTTTAAGTTCGTTTTCTTTTAAACATGGAAAGAATAAAACAAAAAATTTGTGCCTCACTACTTTCAAGCCAAAATATTTTTTACAAAAAAGATTTGAATCTCAAAAAAATTTGTATAACTCAAGCACATTGCACAAGTAGCATTGCATTTGTATATTGGGGAGCTAAACCTTCCCTATTTCTTGTCCAAAAGACCAGATTATTTGTATGTCAAAGCAAGAATCTCCAAAGGTTAGCATGCAATTTGCTTGCAGTCACCTTAACCTTTCACATTTTTCTGTACATAGAAAAAAATGTTTTCAACAGAAGAAATAGTCTATATATCTTCCTTTTGTTATGAACATGTAACTTTTTATTCTCCCAATGATTAAGAGAAAAATATTTTTTTAAAAACTGAAGTTTTTTCAACACCAAAAAAAATCAATATATATATCAATGCCATTGTTATGTTTTTTTTTATTTTAGAAAAAATAAATGCCCAAATATATTTTTTAAAATTCTGGGATATCAATATTTCTTTCAATTTCCTTTTTTTTTTAAACTGTTTTTAATAAATGGCAGATGTTCCATATTTTGTAAAGTATTAACACAAAAATGATATCCCATTAAAATCATGTTTAGAAACTTGAACTGTTTGGTGCAGTAATAGGGTTCTGCTGCTCAGCTCCTGCTGGCATGGCAGTTCAACGTACTTTTGCCTCTTTGGCTCAAGTAGTTATTTGACAAAAATAACATTACCTAAGTCAGGGTTCAACAGCCTGCATTTAATTTGAATAAAATTTCTTACTTGTTTAAATAATGAAATATTTTTTATTCTCCTTCTGAAGAAAATTATCCAGCCAAAAGTAATTCAAATTTCACAAATTGTTTCCCATATTTGTTCAAATGAAGGGAGTTGTATTTTCTGTCAGGCTCAGAACTTAACTAACATAGGTAAATGTGCAACAAAACATAGAGAGAAAAAATGGGTCACTCATGGAGGATAACACATCCAATATCCCTGTTTGTGACTTTCGATTATAGAGTGAGTCACTACAGCAAAAACTCTGGCAACTTTTATATTGATACTTTTTAAAAATTTCTGGGTGTTAGTTGAACTGGAGTAGAATTTTCTTTTTTTTTTTTAAATTTGAAGTATTCCGATAAATTTTGTGTTTAAAATTTACCAAGTTCTGCTGTGATGAGTCACCAAAATTGTAAAATAAGTCCAATCTACTGTTGCTGGACACTGGCCTTAAATGATGTGCTGGGCCATCAATAATCACATCATTGTTTAACTTCATCTGTTCCTTTCACTCGGGATATTCCACGTGGAATTGTGCACCGAATAACCCTGGAACAGAGGTTGAGAGGTTCCAAAAAAACTCTTAAATCTGTTGTCAATTAATTATGATGAGATTTTTATAATTTTTTAAAGTTTTTTTTTTTTTTTTTTTTTTTACACATCATAATTAATTGGCTGCAAATTTAGTTCACATTTCATCGATGTTGTTTGGTTTTGATGGTCATGATTTTAAAAAAAATGATGAGATTTTTATAATTTTTTAAAGTTTTTTTTTTTTTTTTTTTTTACACATCATAATTAATTGGCTGCAAATTTAGTTCACATGTCATCGATGGTGTATGGATTTGATGGTCATGATATTAAAAAAAAATGCCATACACATGGGGTATGTAAGTATTTGGCAAGCTTATCATGCAAGACATGCCATGTTCAATTACACACAAGTCTTCCTTAGGTCTCACAGTATCCAAAGATGATTGAGCTTTTAACACTTTCTCAAAGTGTGGCACATTCACTGCTGGAGATCTCTACTCATTCCAACTGGACCGTGCTGATAAAAACATGTTTGGTGGTGGGCTAACTTGGGCAACATTTCACAATCCAAGTCCTCCATGGCCAGGGTACCTACACTTTCAGGGAAACGGTCAGACTTGTGATTTTTCCAGCTTTTTATTATTTTTTTTATATATTTTGTTTAGCAGAGTTAATAAAGAAGCTGGAATCAATGAAAATGCACAATTATGTCACAAAATTAATTTTCATATGCAGTACCAATTTTTAAATTTTTTACTACACATTTCAATAGTTTTGGTTTCAAATATAATAAAAATGACAGGGAGAAAGAGTGGGAAGAGATTATATTTTACTTAAAACATTGAATTTACTATCAATAAAGAACAAGAAAAAAATTAAATATTATAAACTGCTATTGCATATGAAAGATTTAATGGAGTCATAGTTATAATAAAGCACATGTACACATAATTTGGTAAGCCTTGTCACATTTTGAGTTCTTCTATCTCAATATCAGGATTCATTTAATTAGAGAGTACAGCAAAGCTGCTATGCAGTGATCATTTATGAAGGCCATAGCAAGCCATGTTTACAAATGTACAAACAGATTAAAAATAATCTTTCCAAATGATTTATTATTTCTATTATGACAAACATTTCAGAAAAAAGGGGGTGACCTCTATAATCAATTTGAACTTATGCCTTAAAAAGGCAACAGTTTCCAATAAAAACACTTTAACTTGGGTTAAATAAAAAAAACTGCACAAGAGAATATTTTAACAATATTTTCACAGGAAATTTAAACATGTGAATTTGTTGTCTTTCTTGACCATCAACAAATGTTTAAATCAGAAAGTAGAGTATTTTTATATATTTTTTTTAAATTTTGATACTTGTGTTCAGTTTGAAACAAAAAGAAAACTTGGTTTCCCCTATAATAATAATAAAAAGGAATGGCTTGCCTTAGATAATCACTGCACAAGACATATTTAAAGATTGGTGTTTTAGCCTGCTGAGGGGGGTCAATTCATTTTTTTGTTTTAAAACGTGGTTCAGCTAACCCAAGCTTGAGCAGGAGTGGACATCCTAAACAAAAGGTCTCAAAAGTAACACTTACACCTTTAATTCCGATTGTCCAGTGATCCACAAGTTAAAATGTTCACAATCTGTTGATCTAAATTGATGAACTCAATTTGTCTTGCAGGTTTTATGGTTTTTTAAAAATCGAAAGATTTGTTCCAAGGCAACAGAATAATATAGAAAAATTGAACATTTAAAAAAAAAAATAACCATTGAGTAGGATGATAATGATTAAATACAATTAATACTTTTCACATACAAAGCTGGCAGAGCTCTTTCGTGCACTATTATAACTGTCAATTAACACAAATTGTTAACAACCTAATGTCAGAGTCAAATGGGTTTAAAACACCCAACACAACAACTATCAAATTTACATTCTGTTATGGCTGTGCCCAACAGTCAAAACACACACAATACTGCATCTGTACCAAAGTCATCTCATAAAATATTTGACATAACACAAATAATACAATTGTAATCTACATTGTCTTGGGCAGCAGTAAGAGGAGAAACTTGGGCACAGCATCACTAAGAACAACTAACAAACCAAGAATAATTTAATTCCCTTACGTAACTCACAACCACAAACAACTCAGGTTTCAACTGAAACTAATGCTCGGCATGAGAACTTTCACCCATTAAAAATTGCTAGCACGCATCATACCTGTCACTCCGCACCATTCACTATATGTTCCTTGGCTTTGGCACTATTGTTATTCATTTTACTTTTGGCTAGTTTAGAGTCCGAATCGCTCCCACTGTGATGGTTCCCGACCATTTGCTTAGGTGGCTGTGTGGATCCGCTCGGTGGGACAGAGGAGTTGTTGTTGCTCCCTCTTGGTCTAGTGTCTCTAGGTGGTCGTCCGTCCCGCTGATCTTTTGGGGGTGGTTCTTGCTTAGTGGGGCGGTCACCACCTCCCCCATTGACCGTTTGCATCCCGGGACTGACTGAACTGCGACCGACTCCTGAGGCCGATACACTTGGCGGGTGCCCTGAATCTGATTCATTTCCCCTGTATCCCCCACGACCTGAATCTGATTCATGTCCCCGTTGGTTGTAACCACCACCACGACCACCTCGACCTCTGCTTCTATCACCTCTGAAGTTAGAGACACTGGTGTCAGTCTCAGTTCCAGATGCCTGGCCACCATTGCCTCGTGGTCTATTTTTCTTCCTCCTTGGTCGCCTTTGCCGGTCTTGCTGGTCATAGTCTGCATGGAAAAGAAATACAAATAATACATAAATAGCTACACAAATGTTCTAGATTTAATTTAATTCTATCTCTTAAAAGGCTCATTAATGCCAAAAATTAATTTAAACTTTATTAATAAAACAAAATTCCATTTGAAACCTAATATGATTAAATATTGTCAAAAAAAGTTGACCTTGATCTTGGCTGGTTACACTAGCATTGTCAAGTACTGTATCGTCATCATCTGTCATTCGACGTCGAGATCTGGGATCACGGGATTCATCATCATCATAACCTGAAATAGGTTATTGCATTATTATGTTGGAAGAGTGTCTTTTTTAAAAACTCACAAAGATAATGCCATAAGTGTTTTATGTAGCTGCTGTTGGAAGAAAATTGATAGAGATATAAAGCGGTTACATGGAAAAATCTTATGCAAAATAATAGTTACTAGGCGACCCGCTGCGTAGCATACGCCGCAAGCTTGTTGGGGTATGCACATGGTGGACATTGGCGACCGCAATGCGTGAACTTCCCATCTACTAAAGTTACTTGGCAAAAACATGAACTCAAGTTAGGCACATTAAAGAATGCCAATTTTGCTCTTCCCCCCCCCCCCCCCCCCCCCCCCTCTCCTTATACGTCACGGCACACTTTTTATTTCATGCCGACCTGCGTAAAAAAATGTTTTTTGTTTTAAATTTTTGAAAATATTTTCTGCAAATACTTTCTTTTCTACTTTTAGTGCGTCTTCAAAAGAAAGTCCTCAAGAAAAATGTTCAGTTATATTTTTTTATATTCTTTTTTTTAGTATGAAAATCCATAAAAGAAGAATTTTTTTAAAACAATGAATGCTTCGAAATTCCGGCTATAGAAAAATCTCCTTCTGTCATTTCCCCACCACTCACTCACCCACCCACCCCACCTTCCCACTTTTTCCCTAAGCCAAGCATAATGGAGCTGAAACTGTGTCATCAACATTTCAATTCAGCAGCACAAAGAAGAGTCAAACGACTGAATGAAAGTGTTACGTGTATCAAAAAAAATAAAAAAATTAAGCTTCACAAGATAGAAATGAGAGTAGAGAGAAAATCTTGAAAAATAAATCTTACCCGCTCCTCGTGGTGGTAGTCCTCCTCTTCCTCCTCTCATACCACCACCCCTTGAACCTCGCCTGTATGCACCACCAGCCCTTCCGCGACCACTCAGAATACTGTCCGTTAAATAACCAGCTTGCCTTTTTTCTTCATCTACCTCAGCTGACCAATCACCAACCATAGCAGCAGGCATTGATGGATCATCTCCTGTAAAAATTAAGCAATGCATCTTAAAATTTCACATTGATTAAATGACTTTTTTCTTCTTTAACAATACTTTTGAACAGTTTTAATTATGCAAACCTACTAGCGATGAAATTTAACACTTTATATTCACACACTGCCCTTACGCAACTACCAATTTTAACCTTCATATTCACAGAACATCGCTAGGAGACTGTATGTCATGGCAAAAAGAAAAATTCACAAATTATCTTCTTTTAGCCAGGCAAGCACTTTAACATGTTTACATCTCCCGCAATGGTGAAATCACAACTTTTAAATGAAAATAGCTTGTTCAAAGTCTAAAATTCATTTGATTTATGTACTATAAATAATTTATAGGTTAATTTATAGATGGCTTCAGTAATAAAGATTCCTGTATTTAAATTTTCGTATTGAAATCAATATTGTACATGACAAATTTATTTAGTTAATCATCTTATACCCTTATGTTCGACTGAAACGGCTGAAAAGTTATGTGGATACAAGGGCTTTTTACTCTAGGCAAGTTTTTATTGAAATAAAAAGTAAAACCTTAAAAATCTTTAAATCTTTGCTTGCTTTTATGTGTTGTTGAAATAAATTTTAATTTAATAAACACAATCTAAATATTTCTAACTATATCAAAAGAATAAAGTAAAATGATAACAACAACATCTTTTAACCAGTTTAAACATTATATTTTCCGAAACCAGCAAAAATAATGGCAAAAAAAAGAATATTCTCCATTAAAAATAGAACATACCGTGCCTATCTGTATTCCACCGACGGCCTCTGCCAGTACCACGGCCACCCCTGCTGCCACGACCTCTTCGGTCATCAAATTGTTCTCTGTGAGATAAATTAATGCAAATTCTTTTCCAGGATGGAATCTATAACCAACCCTTTTTATATATTTTTAACTGTCCTCATAGGTTTTGATGGATGATTATTTTTAAAATTATTATTTTTTTTAATAACAGTGTTACACTTGTTTCGATGCTTTTTGGTACAAATGGTTCATAAGGAATATTGAAGATGCATTAACTTCAAGATTTTTCGGTGTAAGATTCATTAATCTTTACTTTTCCATTTCTTTGTGCATGTTCTTGGAATGCACTATTTTTAATCATTATTTTTACCCAAAGGACATATTAAAGGAGCAGAAAAATATATTTAAATAAAAAAGGATAATGGTTAAAACTTACGGATATCCCCATCTTCTATCTCTGGGTGGGGGAAAGTATGAACCAGGCTGGGGCCCTGACAGTGACTTAAGCTGTTGATCAATTTCTAATTTGGCTTGACGCAACTGTTCCACTTCCTGAAACACAGGTGCACATTATTGAGCCATTTCTTTTTTAATAGAAAGTACAATAGTTGAGTGCTGTAAAGTAGGAAGTGTATATCAGACCTGTTTGCCCTCAAACTCTTAAAATCGTACAATATCATCACAAAATCGTTCAATACCTTATATTTAGAGTAAAAAATAAGACTACAATATATATATTTACACCTCAAAATCGTACATTGTACGCCAAAATCGTAAGAGTAAACAGGTCTGGTATATGAGCAAGAGGTATAAAATAAATTTTAAAGTGATCTTCACACATCATCATCATTCTTATTTAACCATTATGGTCCACAAACAAAAAAAAACAACAACATATTTTTTCATGCTGAATTTAAAATTTTCTCATAAAAAGAGACATTAAAATATATAAGTTAACAACATAACTTCATGGTTGTTTATAAAGTGGCCAACAAGAGTTGTCCATTTCTTAGCCTTTCTCACTTCCAATGGAGCATAAGCCATCCACAACACTTTTCCATCTGTCCCTGTCCTGGGATATCTTTTTTAGTTCAGCCCAACATTTCTTCCTCCTTACCTCTAATATCACCCCCCCCCCAAAAAAAAACAACAACAATAAACAACAAGACTTGTACTTTCAGATAAAGTTCTCAAGTACACAAGTTAATACTGCGGCCATACATTTTTATGGTGAACCAGTCTAATGCTTAATGACTTTTGTGATGTACGGTGTCTCGTTGGTCAATATCAGCTATTTATAATATCACCCCCCCCCCCCAAAAAAAAACAACAACAATAAACAACAAGACTTGTACTTTCAGATAAAGTTCTCAAGTACACAAGTTAATACTGCGGCCATACATTTTTATGGTGAACCAGTCTAATGCTTAATAAAATAAATGAGTTCTTTTTAACATGCTTAGTCCAATAATTATTTTTGGATCGAATTCAATGTTGAACTTTAACCAACGAACTGTGGCATAGATCATTCTGTAGTAAGGGAGCTTTTCAGAGCTATTTGAGTGCCTTTTGAAATAGCATTAACTGACATAGAAATATTGATAAAACACCCCCAATCAGTATATATTTTTAGAAAGGAAAATGGATGGGGACAAAGTTGGCTATATTGCCCACCCCGTAAAAAATCAGTGTCTTTGACCTTGGAGTGCTCAAGAAAAAAGAAATCCACAAAATGTCTTGCTTTCAAGTGCTCATAACATCATTAATTTTTGTAGATTCCATTACAATACCAATTATAAATGTGGTAGCCAATTCATTTATCTTTCAGAACATGTATAGTTTGATAAGGTTTTGATTAAAATAAAGCCTCTGAGCGCAATTTCAGTAATTTTGGTCATTTATTACTGAACGAAATAAACTGGGACCACAGCTAAAACCAAGTACAACATACAAAAATCTCAGGCAAAAAAATTATTTTTGACAAGTAAACATTTCAAAAGGAACTGTGGAACTGATTTGGGATGTCCAACTATAAAATGTATTCATTGACTAAAATTCAGTCAGTCCTTGTCCAACCTCTGGGCCTGGCTCGAAGTCTAACAGTAGGCCTACTTCAGTATCACTAGGACTAGTATCAGATTCACTGAGGTTGTCAATGGGAATGTTAAAATCATCATCAGTATCACTTAAATCCTCTCCTAAAAAGCTTTCAAAAATATTTCTATTACTTCTCTGAAGGCCCAGCCATAGCTTCATCCATTTTAGCTTTTAAAAAAACAGCGATATCAAACTCCAATTTAAAAGTACTTATTGTAAAGTTATTGTAAAGTTAAACAAAAAGCTTGACCAGGAATATGATTTAATTATTATTAAAAGGAATTAGCTATAATTCCTGATAAATATTGGATCGGAAGTTGCTATCTGACTATGTCTTCTATCGGCCGATTTTTTTTCGGCCGATCACAGTTCATGGGCTAACTAGCTTACCTTGAGATGATCCAGGTGATACTCAAGAAGAAGCTTTGCATTGCTGATACTTTCCATAGTTCCAACAAATATAAATGGCACTTGACCCTGGAAGGATGCAAAAAACTGTTTCCGATAAGACATACAGTCAGAAAAATATACAAATATACAGTCTTTTATTCTTTAGTCTCATTGACATGAATCAATAATCTTAATTACTTAATGCATCACAATAATACCTCTTCTCTTTCTGTCTCGTGTTCGTTGTCCCCTTCGATCTTCACTCGTACTACCCCTGACTTGTCAACAATGTCTTGGATATTTCTGCCATTTTTGCCAATGACTTTAGCTGGAAAGAGCAAAATAAATGTCATTTTCCTTGATTTCTATTTGTAATATTAAAACATTTTTATTTTACAATAAACCTAAAAAAATTTCATACCAACTAGATCTCTAGGAACTTGAAAGGTTTCTTCAGAAAACTCCAATAAGCCTCGAGCTGATTTCACTGCTTCTTGAGTCTGTTCAAAAAAAAAGAAAAGAAAAAAAGCCAAACCAGTGATATTGTATGTAATATATGAAGACATGTTAATTATAACAAACGTTCGTACTGTGACAGAGTTATTTAATGTATGAATGAGATAAGAAAAATGATGCGATGTAAACAGTGCTTGAATGAGAGCATTAAAAAAAATGTAACAAGTTCAACTGAATGCACATTGAATTACTTTTAAAGCAAACTAATTAATGCTTTAGTCATAAAATATCAAACATTTTGGTCTTGTAACTATAATGCAGTTAAAATTAACAAATTACTTGCAATTATTAAGATAACGTCATGATTATTGCAAGAAGTAACACCAGACCAGAAAACGGACAATAGAAGTGTAGAAAAGACACACTCAGACATATCCCAAATTAATTTTAAGTCTTAACTGACACAATAATGAAGGCTTAATGTAATATTTTTTTGCTCAACAATAACTAATTACTACTTTAAATTTCTCACCTCCCCATAGACTTTGAATGTACAAGATCCTTCATCTAGTTCAATGCCTGTAATGCCATCCACCTTACGGGCTTGCTGTATGTTGGCCCCATGTGTGCCAATAGCTAAGCCCATAAGTTCATCACGGACTTGAAATTCCTCCATGTATCCTGACCTGATTTTTGTACTCTAAGGGAATTTTTTTTTTAAATGAGCATGTAGATATACATCAGAACATAGTATAGTTCATACACTTCAGCAATAACATTAAAAAAGAATTGTTCAGAGCGAGAGGGGGTAGGGGCCTCTTGTCCATAAATAAAGCCATCTAGGAGAATCATCTTTAAATTTTTCACCTCAAAATGAACACCAAGAGCTTTAACACTGCAACTGATAAAAGAGGAGCTGATAGGGGGATGGGGAATAAAACGAGCATTTTTCCAAACATGAGTTATGGTTGGATTCCTTAGCATTCATTACTTATGTCCAACCATGTCAAGTAAGCCTAAAAGGAATACATCCTGTTCATTTTCTATGTTTAACTATGAACAATAAGAGAAAAAAAAGGAAGGGAAATAAATCGTTTTGCAGATTTTATCAAAACCTAAAAATTTGTACTTGGTCCCTTTAATAAAACACTATTCAATTTGGATTTGGGGAGGAGTGGTGGGGATTTAGAGTTTAGCATATTGGGGAAAGGGTGTGATGAGGATACATTGGTTCAATTATATTTTTAAAGGCTCATCAACAGCATTTAGTAAGACACCTTTTGATTTAAAATCTAAAATTTTCATTCAAGCTAAGACTAAAGATTAAATGTAAAACATTTTAATAAGAGTATGCCCTAACTTTGGACTAAGTTTAACACTGACAGATTATATTTATAAGATAGATTACACACCTGAAGTTTTTTCGCAGCTTCCTCTGTGCGTTGCTTCAATAAGACTTTTTGCCTCATGTTTCTTAAAAACATGTCTCCAATCATGGAAGCTCTCTTAATGACACTGGGACTAGTGCTCTGTAATTGAAGTCACAAAAATTACATTTTAAAATAAACACAACAATGAATATGTTATAAAAATCAGATAACAGAAACAAAAAGTAAGGTCTTTTCAATCAATGAATTAATTAAACAAACCAAGTCTAACAACGATTTAAATAACTCGTAAAGATTGCAGGGAGAAATCAAACATATTAAAATTAGACATTAATGTTTAAGAAGAATGCTATAAAAACGTAATGTAATCTAGTACTTACGAGTACATGTAGTGATTTGTCTTCAGGATTATAGGAGACCATGGCACCACCAATGTGCTTGCGGAATTCTTGAATGGCCAACTCCTCCTGACAACTGTTGAGATAAGTGGAGTATTGAGAAGTACTTCTTATTTTTTAGAAGTTCTGAGATTTAACAAGAATAGTATAAATGTAAATTACTTTTGAAAGAAAAAAAAATAATGTAATTAGCAAACAATAATGTAGAGTAGAAGCAAAATTATACTCTACTAGATGAAGTGCTAAATTTGTGTCAAAGAATTTAACTGCAAAAAAAAAAAAAAAAAAAAAAAAAAAAAAAAAAAAAAAAAAAAAAAAAAACACAAAAAAAAAAAAAAAATAAAAAAAAAAAAAAAAAAAAAAAAAAAAAAAAAAAATAAAAATCAAAAAAAGAAAGGGAAAAATTTTTGAAAAAAAAATAAAAAAAAAAAAAAAAAAAAAAAAAAAAAAAAAAAAAAAAATTAAAAAAATGAAAAACTGCCCTACTACTTACCCTTCTCTCAAGTCAGGAGGCACTTCTAGTACAAACTGAAAGAACGACTCTTTTGTGATAGGGGGGCTGGAAAAAAAAAAGAAAAAAGATTTTGAACACTTAAATAAATTATATTAAAAATAAAATAAATAAAGACAAGAGAAAACTACATTTTTACTAACCACTTACAGGAAAGCTAAGAAAATAGACAGAAATTTTACTTGTTAGCATTCTGTTTTTTTATTTCTTACTTGTGGTTAACTGATCTGATTTTATCCAGGGGCAAAATATCATTTGCATCCCAGGGAGAAGCAACCACAGCAAATTCTCCTTTCAGCATCTTGATTTTAGCAGGGTACCATGCTAATCCTTCCTCATCCTTCACTTTTCCAAATACCTATAAATTATATGCAATATATTTATTTGTTGTTATTGATGATGAAAAGTGTGTAAAATAAATAATAAAATGCATACAAAATATACAATGCTTACTTATTTTTTAAAAACAAAATCTACTGCTTTAAACTATTCAGTTGCTAATTTTATCAATGATTTTGGTTAAAAACAATATTTCATTTCTTAATAGTCTTATTAATGCCCAGACTGATTGATATGATACCTCAACTCTCTCATCTTCTCTGAATTCAGGCTTTGTGGCTCCAGACTTTGGCGGCAGTCGCACATTTGTGAGTTTGACTCTCTTGTCTGCTTGCCAGCTGATTAAAAGGGGCGAAACACAAAATTTATGACAATAATCTGCAAATTATTTAAACCCTGCAGCTAACACAATATAGGCATACAATAAATATGTTGACATTAAAAATCTGATGTAGATTGTTTAGATGGGTTTTTTTTTAAACAAAAATTTCTGTTAAATACTATTCACTTACTTATTCTCAAATGAAACCAAAACTTCATCTTCGTAAAAACTTTTTAGGTATGCCTGCAAATACAGTAAAAAGAAATCTTAATATATTTTTCACAACACAGCTTCAAGAAAACTAATGTGTGTATATTTACAATTTATTTACCTATAGTTTTAAATTATTGTTAACAGGGTAATAACTTAAAAATATCCAAAGTTTAAATGATAAATATTATAGATCAGGGGTCTCCAAACATTTCAGCCCCAGAGCCGCATTAACTATCAAACAGCAGTTCGGGGGCCAACTACACCTCGAGGTCCAAATAAAAAAGAATCAAAACATGAATGTTGTTTTAAATTATTTATGTAATATTAATTTAATCAGTTATTATTTAATAGCATATTGATACACGACGCATGAACACTTGTAGTAGTGCGAATGGTGAAATTGTTTCCTTGATGTAAAAATAGCAGTGATTAGCAGACATTTCTGGATTTAGTTTTGATGTCCCTAACATCAACAGTGACCTGAGATAATCATTGGACAAATTTGTTCTCAAATTGTTCTTCACATATTTCATTCATGAAAATGTTTGTTCACAGATGTATGTTGTTCCAAAGATTAACAGGTACATTGAAGCAATTTTTTTTTAAATTAGGAAAGTCTTCCTTGGGCAAAAACTGGTTAAAAACCCACCAGTCCTTCTTTGAACTTCTCCCTAAGGATGTTATTTGCTTGTAACTCAAAGACCTCCAGCTGCAGTTCATCTGGGCAAATGGCCACATAGTCTTCAAACAGTCTCACTTCTTCTGCCTTTGAATCCAAGTCAAAAAACCGCTGCTGAAACTGCAGCTGGGGGTCTTTGACGATCCTGCATGCAAATGACGTGGAGAACTACGCAGTTGCTTCAGCCTTGAAGCCCTTGCACTGCTAAAAGTGCGTCAAGTTGTTGGCCTGTACTTTTTACAAAAACAAGACAAATTTGGATCTGAAGGCCTCTAGGTGGGTGTATAGATCAGAAACTAGATTTTCCTCACCTCGTAGTTTTAGTTTCAGAAAATTTAAATGCCTATATATATAGTTATGTCTGCAGCAAAGGCAAATTTCCATACACACTCTTCATCAGACAGTAATGGCTGTGGCTTGCCTTTACTTTCCAGGAAGTTACGTATTTCTTTTGTTAACTTAAATACTCTGCTCAGAAGTTTCTCACAACTTCGCCATCTTACTGCTGTGTAATATGGTAAATCTTGCGATTTTGTGTCTGTATCTTTCAATGGGTCTCTGAGCTGTCTATGGTTGAGCCAATCTGGCCTTATTAAAATAACCCTCTTTACCAAAGGATTCAGTACACTGCTAATGTCCATATATTTGGCACAAAAAGCTTGCTGGTGAATAATACAATACAGGAACATTGGTTATAGAATGTTTTTCTCATTACACATCTGCTTCACTTGTCCAACCAAGCCTTTCTTCATGCTACTCATGCTTTTTCCTCTGTCAACAGTCAGGCAACTGAGGTTAGTCCAGTCCATGTTATAATCGGCAAATTGTTTTTTTAACTCATTTAATATATCATGCAATGTAGGGAAGCCAGCTCTTGTGTTATGTTCATGTCTTCATCCACACCTCTAATCAACACAAGCAGTTGAGAGGTGGAACAGCTGTCCAGCGATTCATCCATTGCAATTAAAACTTGGCGAAACTTGCTTGCATTTTTCACTATTTGAGTCACAATGTTTTCACAGAGGGGCAAATCTCCGCCATTAGATGGCATTATATCATCTCATTGATTGTGAACGGAAGTAGAAAAACTAAGCAGTAAATAAGGTTTTGCAATGTAGTGAGCGGTTGGAAAACACAACGTACTACTGCGCGCCTTTATTTTAATTAAGTAAAAACGTAGCGTCCACGTAAGCGGCGGCTGATTTGTCGCCTTATGTACCCACTAGACAACTCCGCTCATCTGATGGCGAAAAACTCTTGATACCACGTGTTCGCCATGAGACTTACGAGGAGCGCACTTTCGAATTTGCTGGCCCAACAATTTGGAACACTCTATCGCTATCAGAAACAGCCAGACACTGGAGTCTTTCAAAACTGATTTGAAGACTTATCTTTTTCCCAAACACCTGCTGGGGTGATGTTGTCTATCTAGCTATTATCTTTTAGATGTATATTGGCCTGTGTTGTTTATGGTTGCAATGTATGAAAGACTTAGAATGGGTATTCTTGTATGTAGTTTTGTAATGTTGAGCTTTGTAATTCAATGTGGTATGTACCGCGCTTCGAGCCTTTGGGGATGAAGCGTGACTTTTAAATAATCTTTATTATTATTTTTTTTTTTTTTTCGTAGACTAAAAGGTCTTCACAAAGCTACATGGCGGGCCGTAGTTTGGAGACCCCTGTTATAGATTATCAGAGTTTAGTTGAAAATTGAATTTTAATATTGTAATAATATTAAAATTATCAAAGAAAACTTTTCAACATGGAAATGTTAAACAGGAAAAGGCTGTAAAAAATTCAACTTATTGTTAGAGGCAGGGTGAGCCAGTGAGATAATCTTCAGTCATCAACAATAGAAAATAGTATCCCTTAAAAAGGGATCCACAATTCATGAGGGTTGGGAGACCCTGCCTTAAAGTATCAAAATGTTTTCCAGTGTGGGCAAAAATTAAATGCATGGGAAAGGTAATTTCAAGTGAATTCCCCGAGGTTCCTATGTTAGAGTGAATTAGTTTACATAAGTCTATAACACAAATAAAAGTCCAGCTCCTTTTACAGTAGAAATACTTAAGTGTACCAATGATCACCTCCAGCAGCACCCACCCCTGCTTCCATTCCCTTCACAGCATAATGTCAAACAGGAACTTCTTCATACTCCATTTTATGGAACATCATTTGAAAAGACAGTTAAGTCAGGGAAGCTAAACTACATTTGGTCCATATTTTTATAACTTGTCTCATAAAGAATTCAGTGAGGATGGATCCATGGAATGAGGTTAGCCTTTCATAATAAATATTAAAGTCTTATTATAATTGTTTTGTATGTGTCGTAGTCTTTCCCGAATAACCATTTAGATCACTGTATAAAGAGGAGAGGGTGTTTTACTCTATCAAGGAGTGTTCTATTTTAAAAAAGTGTGGTATCACTGCTTTATGTTCTCCCCTTTATAACTTATGAAACATAACTGATAAGAACATTCACAAAAGCATATTCATGTTTTATATATTTTAGGCCCACGCCTATACCATGAATTTTATGCATATATATTTAATTCAATTTGCTATTTAGATTTTCCACAAATCTAAACATAATTAAATGCACTCAAATGATATTTTCTCACAAAGACATAAACTGTAGTTGAGCCAGTCTAAGCTAAATTTTAAGTCCAAGATCTAAAAGTTTGGCTTAATTCACAGATCATAATGCAGTCGGGGGGGGGGGGGGGGGGGGGGGGGGAACAATTTCAAAAGGGGGTGGGGGGGGGGGGGGGGGGGGGGGGGGGTCGGGGGTCAACCATTCAAAAGGGTGAGACCAAACAAAAATATAATAAATTTGAAAGAGCTTTTCTAGTCAGTTTCAAACACCAATTATCAAAGTTAAATAGAGAAGCAGGGTCAGGGTGCCACCAATGCTGGCAGACTCATAGGAGGCCCATGGGGAAGTCTGCAGTGGGGTAACATGATGAGTTAACTGCCACCGCCTCAGTGCAGTCTCTTATGAACTCATTTCATTTCTGAGACATCACAGATAATATGTAATAGTCCTGAGGCTACAGAAAAGTAGGTAGTTATGTGAAATTTTCTAAATATTTCTAAAAAAAATATTAATGCAATACAATTGAATACAGTCAATTGAATAGTTTACAAAACACCAAGCTCAACTTTCTAGCTCAAGTGGTTTAAAAGTTATCGTTTTTTTTTTAGTGCTGACGTCATACACTTTTTTATCCATTGAGTTTTCCTCCAAATTTTGTGACACCCTTTTCAGCTCATCACTTTCACTCATTTATCTGGCATATTTCTCAATATAAAAATTTCGTATTTACAGGATTTGTTAATAACTATATACATGTATAAATATATATATATGGGTGATATATGAATATATGATTGAAAATAGAAAATATGCTTCAGAATAGCCTTTTCTTATTTAAATAATTATTTTATACATAAAATCTTATTTTTTCCTATGTAAATTCAATAAACTGTGCATTTTTGAGGTGGAGTAATCATAATTTATTAAATATTAAAAGTACATAGCTCAAATTTGTTATGGTGTTGCAACTTATGAATTAAAAAATGAAGCAATTATTTGTATTTAAAAGAGGGGGAAAAAATGACATAATCAGTGACTCTCACACCGGTGAGATCAAGGAGTAAGAGTGCCATATGAACATTTAAAACTACATGCCGCATACATTAATCCATATTTTTGGTTCATTGATTTCAAGCCAAGTATTGATATTGTTTGTAGACATTTGAACCATAAAATTCAACTTAGACTGAATGAGTAGGCTACAACAGAGGGATATAATTTCAGACTAAAGCTGTTAATAATCATTTGAAAGATGTGTGACTAATTATAATTCACAAGTGGAAAATAATGAAAAATATTTGTGTGACTCTTTGGGATAATGTGTTGTATTAGTATTAGTAATTTTCTTTGCCTTTGGAAATGAATGTGTTAGCCTTATTATTAATAATTCGTAAAGCTAGTCCAATTGCTTAAATTAATTTTGTATTATATGACTTCAATATCAAAGGTAACTTGATTCTTATTGTAATTTAACTTAATATTATTATATTGGTCACTTAAATTAGGCTATTATTTTAAAATAAATATCATAATACTTTTAATAGTTATATCTAAGTCAAAGGTTAGTTGTTATCCATCCCATGTGCTTGGCAACCAATCCCAAAATTAAAAACAATACATCAACAAAAATGGTAGCCATGACACATAGCCAAAATAGTAACTTTTTATTTTTCGGAACTTTAAAACCTGTTTTCAATCATGCTGGCGAAATATTGACCTGTTCATTCATTACAATTTTTACTAGTTACTAGTGACAACACCTGAGCTCGATAATGAATCCTGAAAGATTTTTAGCTCAAAATTGCTCTTTCGATCATTTCAAAACTTTGGAAATGCCATCAAATTCATCAAAAAAACTTCATAAAAAAAATTTTAATTTATAACATAGATCTAATATGGATAGGTGTGATGTACGATACGGGTGGGGTGGGGGGGATCATAGTCTAAAAAAATTATACCCTGCTTCTTTTTTGCGAAAGTAATATGTGCATATCTGAAAAATAAACTCCAGCTTAGGCTGAGAAATTTTTATTGTAAAAATTTTGTGTGTGCTATTTATTATGATTAAAATTGTTAATTAAAATATAGGTCTAAATAACATTTTTATAATTACCATAATAATCATTTTACTGCATACAGAGTGTGCATATTGAAAAAAAATTGTGTTATTTAAGTTAAATGAAACGGTATAATTACATAGTCTTCTTGGCCCCCCCCCCCCCCCCCCNCCCCCCCCCCCCCCCATAATGATTTTCTGGTGAGAGATAGCCCTACTGAGTATTATTTACACATTATAGACACAAAAAATAAATTTTGAAGTGCACCACAACCAGACAGCCGTTTAAAACATGTCGGCACACATTTTTTTTTTTTTGCCAACACATTGTATTGTACAGTATTGGTGACGCAAAAAGTAGGAATTGACAGAACGAAGTGGTTATGCGCAGCCGACTGCGTATAACCCTGAGAGTTATACGCAGTCGGCAAGTCACGTGACGTCTATATTCTTCCTGTGTTACACTATCAATCAATAAGGGTACCTTGATTTCTGGTGACTGTGTGGTCGAATGGTCTAAACTGACCAAACATCAAGTTGGTGGTCTTGAGTTCAATTCCAGCCAACGGCAAGCCATGAATAGCAAGCCATGAATACGCGTTAGTTGCTATGCTTTTTCTCGAGAAAGAAGCAACAACTAGGCTTATTGTTTTACTTTTTTTTTTTGGCTAAAAAATGTTAAAACATGAGAAGAATTATTAACTTGACCAATGTAATGTTAATACTGTTATACTTATAATTATCAAATATATTTTTGTGTTGTTAACTTATATTTTGTTTTGTTAACTAATTTTGTGGCAGATAAAATCATGTTTCACTGGTACAGTAATAAAAATAATCATGGGTTGAGAGTAGCAGGAAAAAAATCGCTGTAGGGGCAGGGGTTCTGTAGAGGGGGCAGTGTAAGTAATACTTTCACACAGTTATAGTTTTGCATAGAAGCTGAAAACTGTTACATTTAGGTCATCAAAAAAAAAATCATAAATGATAAAATTTAAAAAAAGATAAATAGAATGTATTTCCTGAATTAGTCAGTAAAACCAACCACATAGACATAGTATAGCAACATATAAAAACCTAATCAATCAAAATACATAACTAGACTTAGACCATGGAAATGCGTTTAAAAAAATCTAAGACTTAGGCTTAGACTCTAAGAAATGTAGAATTTGACTTATACTTAGAATTATAATATACAAGATACAAGCAATAATACTAATAATAGCACTAATACTAATACTATTGCTATCATCAATTTCAAAATTAATTAAAATTAATTCAATTAAAATTTTACGTTAAACACATAAAAAGTTACAGTTCGAAACAACCCATCTTGCAGCTCATTACGCATAATACTTTTTTTTAAATTGCCAAACAAGCGATAATAAACCTTATTTGGCTAAATTCCCAGCCGACTGCGTATAACCCTGAGAGTTATACGCAGTCGGCTGTGAATAACCCTCAGGGTTATGCGCAGTCGACTGCGTATAACTCTCAGGGTTATACGCAGCCGACTGCGTATAACGCTTCCCATTGACAGAATTTCACGAAAGAGTGATTTCAGTGATGTAATTTTAAAAAATAGTGACTATCAACAGTGTCAACACTTAGGGTAAAGGGAGGTAATTGGCTCCATGGGGTATTAAGCCTTAATTGCTCAGTTCATAAAATAAATTGCTTGATATTATTGCAGAAAGAGAGAAAGGCATTATTTTATTTCTACAGTGAAAGTTTTTTAGTTTACATACAAAAACAAGTACAACTAAACTCAGCAAGTACTTTTTTAAAGTTTTCAACTGTATGTGTATGTAATGAATGAGTTAAAATACTGATATTTGTAGAGCAAATGAAGCTGGTCATTTTTGCAAAGTAAAATGGTAGTTGGATGAATGATTTAAAGATTGTTTATAAAATGCTCTAAAATTCACTTTAATACTAAAGTTCCTTCTAATATTTTGAATAGGAAGCATTTGTAAAAGAGATATGGTTCTGTAGATTATTTATTTATTTAATTAGTTTATAAAAATGAATATTTTAAATAGCAGGGGCTTAACACCATCAACTGTTAAAAGATGATTAAAACAACCAAATAATATTGATCAGATTAATAAAATCCATGTTTTACTTCAAATAGCATTAAACAGATTATGACAGATAAAGTTTAAATTGAAAACAAAAGTTATTAATTAGTAAAAATAGGTTTAAAAAATTTTTAAATATAGTTTTGATAATGAAATCCCAGAAAAATCTGATATTGAAGCCATGGAATGGATCCGTCAAAATTGCCCAATTTGTGAAAATTATGCATTAAACATGCTGGAGCTAATTTTGCCCCCATTTTGTTAAATTTAAGTCATAATTAGTTTTAAATTTTTAATCTTTTTTTCACTATATGGCTTTAAATTTTGCTCATTAAAGCTTTTAAGAAAGATGTGTGGTCTGTTATTTAAAAACATTTTCAGTTTGAATTTAATAATATTCATTTATTTCAAAGAGAAAAACAACAAGTTCTTGAAAACATGGTGCTTAATGCCCTCCATTACCCTACTTATTGAACTTAGTCAATACTGCAATAAATCAATCTATTACTAGTATTACTATTACTATTACCAATTAGTAATTAGTAGTTTTTGACACTAAAACTACCAATAGTCACCTAAAACTAGAAGCTACAGGTAGTTTGCTACCAATCGTTGTAGCCAGTTAAAATGGGAGGTCGCCGTTTTGACAAAATCGATACCAAATTTTGTTATTGATATTGTTCCTGGGCAATAATACTGAATTGTCGACTAATTCAAAGCTTAAACTTTTCGTATTAGTTCAAGTCATTTTCTACCTGTCAGTGTCAGGATTAAGTTGAGGCCTCAGCAGTCTTAAATAGGCCTACAGATACAAAACTTTCAAGTACTGATGTACTGACTAGCAAAGGCTGACTAGTCAATACTCAGATTCAGTTTCATAATAGGTGATAAGTGTTGATTCTCAAGCCAAAAAAGATGTCCAAAGCCAAATATTACTAGGCCTAGGCAGGACTCTAAATAACTGATTTAAACAAATTTGCACACGAGTTATTGTTAAACTATATAACATTGCATTTTATAAATATACCAATTTTCGTGTTAAATATTACAAACTTACTAAACTATGCCTAACAGAAAAGAGAAAGAAAAATGTAAGTTCTAAACTTTTTTGTTGAGTGCCAGAAAAAAATGCCGGGTTTTAGAATTCCAGTAAAACTATTACCATCTTAGTGCAATCTTATATTGCATGACAGTTCTTATTTTAATAAATCCAATACAATATTGATAAACATAGTAGAAAACCAACGTACTTTATAATAAACACCGTTGCTTCCACCAACTTCAACCGAAAGATCCTCCATTTTGGGCAAGAATAAAAGAATGCTGGGAAATTCTTCACGCGCTGCGATTTGCTCGTTTTTCTTTGCTTTTCTTTCTTTAATGAACGTATCTGTTATAAACGTGTATGTTTGATTGATTTTAGAATAATATTATCTTTTATTTAGCCCAATTTAAATAAAGCTTGAATCGGATTTTTTTTTATCTACTTTTCTTTATAAACAACACCGAATCAAAAGACCCAAAATTGTCTCTAATATACTAATAACCTTAACAAGTTCATAATCCATTATAATAATTTTTTAGTACTTAAATTAGCATATTCAAAACAAAATCTAGGATATTATTGATATCAAATCAAAACTATCAATGAAATGAAAGCTTACCGTAACCCTGGCCTTTCGATATTCTTTACGATTTATGTCCCAAACAGTAACACAGGGCAACCGAAGATTTTTTTTTAATAACTGTGTTCTCTGTATAGTAATTTACAGTAGCTTAAAAGATTTAAATATTTAAAGTCACGGAATGCATTTTAAATTCAAAGTAAAGCGCTAGCGCCAAGAAGACATTAAGAATTAAGTTAATACTTGTTTAGCTGAATGCGCAGCTGATTTTCGGGTGGGGGGTGGGGGGCTGTTGAGTTTTTACTTGCGACCCATGCGTCAGTGCCTACAAGATTGTTCCGAGCACCAGTGGCATATGAAGGTGGTAGGAGGCGGTTCGCTCCGTGTGGCACTTTTTCTCATTATTATTATAGAGGGGCTGCATCTTCTGTCAACTGCAGCGTTTGTTTCATGGAAGAGGTGCAGCAAAAATCTTGCCCCACCCCCCCCCAACCCCCGAGCGGCACTAACACTAACTACGCCACTGCTGATCACGCATGCCTGGAGACCAGTATTCAGTATTATATTTGAGGTTAAATTTGTTCTAAAAAAAAAAAAGGTCCATTGGTGTCAAGCTGTAGGCCCTATCAGACACTTGAAATTCATTTGAGTTCACAACTCATGATAACTGCGTGGAGAGGAGCAGTCTGCCGACTAGAAACCTGCTTAATTTTCATAACAAAATCCTGGAAAACCACACCATCATTGAAACGGGCGGATATGAACAATTGTAAGATTATACACACACACACAAATATATATATATATGAGAGAAAATTATATTATAAACAAAAATTATAAGTGTTCAGAACAGTAGATGACTTTCTGATATCTCTTTCAAAGATCAGGCAGTTAACTTTGTCGGTGGCAGCTGACTTTCTGACTTTCCCACGACTGGCTGCACACATGCTCGAATTCCATGCGCACATGCACATTACATCCTTATATAACTTATCAGTAAGCAGCGGGAGTAATTTTACAGACATGGAAAAAAACATAAAGCAGCAAAAGTAAGGCCATGATGATTCCTGTTTTTATTCAACTCATAGTTTATTGACTTCATGAACAATTAGCTAGTTTTACAAAAGTTTCACGAGAAATGTAAAAAAAAAAAAGTAAGCCACTATTGATGCCTTTACAGATTTATATATTTTAATGTTTTCCATCCAAAATTTGAATGGTAGTAGTAGTAGTAGTAGTAGTAGACAAATAAAATGACAACTTTTTGAAGTAGCAGATATTTTACAACACATAATCTAATTAAGTTAAACTCAACAAATGATGCACATTGTTACTTCATTAAAATGATACAGTCACCCAAAAGTGTACAGAAACAAGGCTGGGTATAAAACATGGATCACAATTTACGGTAATATGCTTGTATTTTTTTAACATAACTAGAAAATAACAGGTAGAAAATAACAGGTAGAAAATGATTGGCTTCGACAGTAAAACTTTCAAACTAAAGGTAAGAAACATTGTGCTATTGGCCATTGAATGAGTATTTCTTTGCTCATAAGTTAGTTGATCATGACCTAGTAAAAATTGATGCACTCTTCAAGCTAGGTTCTTGGCTCTCACTTAACACCACTTTATTTCCAATAAAGAAATAATAAATAAGAGATTGTGAAGAAACTGACTGATTTGTCACCTGACACAACTTGTGTTTTGATCAGTAAAAAAAAATTAATTTTTGAGAGCTAAAGATCTCTGAGAATTAGGTTGCACTTTTTTTTTTTTTTACTATTCCTGTTAGCATCAGATTTAACATCAGCCATACAATGAACGTACACATTTTGTCATTATTTTATTGCATCATGATTTAAATTCTTTGATATTTAATGGTCTGCAATATTGATCATCTATCATTTAAAAAGGTTTTTCAAAGACTTAAAGGCATGAAATTTTATTAAACATATGAAAAGATTTTACAGCTTAAAACATGCGCATGTCAGTACCAAACAGCATCAAACACATTGACAAGTTCCCTGGTTCTTGCCATAGAAGATCAGAATGTTTCAATGTTGCTAAAGGATGTGGATGCTCTAGAAATGCAGAAAAACAGTGGAAAACATCAGTAACAAAATATGTATAGAAAAAGTTGATGGTGAATATTATAAAACTTTACCTTCCTACAAACTTTAATCATGGAAGTTACATTAAAAAACAAAAAATTTTCTTTATGATTTAGGACACTGGTTCTCAACCTGTGGGTCGTGACCCCTTTGGGCGTCGCACGATCCTTTCCCCGGGATCGCCTAAGACCATCAGAAAACACATATAATCTACAGTTATGATATAGCAACGAAAGTAATTTTGTAGTTGGGGGGTCGCCACAACAATGGGAACTTTATTAAAGGGTCGCGGCATTAGGAAGGTTAAGAACCACTGATTTAGGACAAATCAACAACATAGATTCAAAAGTATTATTTACTCAAACATAAATGCACATATTTTCATCAAATATATAAATGTTTAAGAAAAGATATGTAATTAGTACAATATAAATGCCAGAACAAATAATTATTGTGATAATTATTATGCATGTGATTCGAACATTTAATACCCAATTATGGAAGACTTGAAGATATGTTAGCAGGATGATAATGTAAGACATTTTGCAAGTCGTTCTTCCTGCTGTAGGGAAGTCTCAATATCTAACAATAAAATTTTTACATTTATAACTGAATCGGGTTTTGATGTTTTGTATCCTCCAAAAACACACAAAAAAGAACAAAGTATGACAATAGACCATGCCTTTGAAATGTATCTTGAGGAAATAGTTCATCGAATCCTTGCATAAAAGAAGATGTATTTTATCAGATTTCATTCGGTTCTATTTTTCAGTACAAATAAAATAATACAAAATCACTATTTTTAAGAATCAGGGCGTATTTAAATTGATTCCCATTTCAGTAAAAAAAAATCTAAATCATCATCAATTTTTGAAAGAATCCAGCGCTACATGGTTACATTAGCTCCTTCTTATAATATTTGACTAATCCAGGGGCGGCCAAACCCTTGCCCACGGGTGGCTGCATGCACCCATCATGTCAAATATTGCTGTTGCAGATGCCTGATTATCCCAGTAAACGTATTCATTCTTTGTTCAATGATATAAGTGAGAGAAAAGATAACACAAGAGTTCAGTTTGATTCTGTTGTGTTATTTGGCCTTACATTAAGGGCATTAATAATAAATAAACATTTCTATAAAGAATTTAGGGGGTATTTATTGTAATTTTTTAATATAAGTATATATCAATATAAATGCAATGGCATTTGGTCTGCGAAAGGTTTACTCGCTATCAAAGTTTCCATTTAGGTTGGCTACTAAACAAGAGAAATGCCGTAATAAAATATAATACTAAATAAATCTAGCAGAGCTCAGCATTTTATAATGGGGTGCACATAATAAAACATTTAAGCCAAACACACAATAATCTGAAAATAAATCATCCCCCTTTAAATAAAAATGAGATTACTCACCTTTGTAAAAAAAAATTTATTTAACATTAGGTTTATTCAAATAGGTGGGGGAAAAAATAGATTAACAGACAAATAATCCATAGAAAAAGAATAATCATGTAACTCAAATCAATAAAAAATATATAAATAATCACAGATTCACACAGTAATCTGAAATTTGGCCTTCATTAAGTAACAAATTAATATTCATGGAAGGGTCTTACTGATCATTTATTTTAAGAATAAATTTTCCAGAATTTTTCGATATTTAAATCATAAAACCGAGTCAAATTGCAAACATTGTAGAATAATTAACTCCTTCAAGACTTATAAATACACTTAAGGCATTTTTAAAAAAATAAAATAAATAGCTAATACATTTAAAAAAAATGAATGATACACTTTTAGCCCATTGTCATCCCACTTTAACCTATGTCATTATCAAGAATTTAAAGTTTTAGATATCAATAATAAACCTGGACTACAAAGTATCAAAAAATTTCAGTGCCTTCCTTATTTATGGCAACACCATATTTAAAAACACAGTTTAAAAAAAAGCTTTCTTCCATGTGTTTAGGTCAGGGGGATCTAAAACACATGTTTAGGTCAGGGGGTTCTAAAACACATGTTTAGGTCAGGGGGTTCTAAAACACATGTTTAGGTCAGGGGGTTCTAAAACACATGTTTAGGTCAGGGGGTTCTAAAACACATGTTTAGGTCAGGGGGTTCTAAAACACATGTTTAGGTCAGGGGGTTCTAAAACACATGTTTAGGTCAGGGGGTTCTAAAACACATGTTTAGGTCAGGGGGTTCTAAAAAACATGTTTAGGTCAGGGGGTTCTAAAACACATAAACCCTTTAAGCTTTATTTCTCTACCTGCATAGTGATTAAAGGTCCAAAAATTTGGCTGGAAAAGAACAATGCTTCCTGAACAACCTACATGGGTGCGTTAAATATTTAGCCCATCAAAATCATCCTCATGTGGCCCTTAAGATGATTTGAGTTTTAGATAGCAGCTTGTAATAGCATTTGAGGTCATTGCAACAGGTCGAGAATCATATTTTTGTACTGACAAATTTAATTAAATTTCCTGAACATGTCCTTCAAAGCTGAATTTGGCTCTTTAAATTGAAGTCTTTCAGCTTTTCAATGAGATTATTTCATGCACTACTGGGAAAAAATATATTAGATCGCGTGACACATATTTGACCAATTCAAAATGACTGGCTTTTTTTTTTAAAAACAACCTAGCATATCCTTGGACAAAAAAAAAATTTAATTAATGTAAGATAAATTTCCAAAAGATCAATATTAAAAAGATCCTCTCGTCTAAAAACTTATTGCGAATGGGATATAAAGAAGAATCTCCTCCACCAAACAACCAATCAAAAATTTAATTCCAAAGTATATTTGAATGATGGGTAAAAATGACAGTAACTTCTGCCTACTTACATGAACAAAACATTGCATAATTTTCTGATAGCTGAGATAATAATTGACAATTCAATTTGTTTTGCACCAGCAGGAAAAAGGGCAATCATCATCAGGAAAGATAATATAACATCAGGGGAGATAAACAAATACAAGATACTCAATAACATTCAAATAAGGATATTTTGGGGAGATTCAGTTCAAGAAGCATTTTACTCTTTTAATTAAAATTTGAATACAAATATACATCTTATGTATTACAATAATTTTTACCTGGTTTCAGGTAAGTGAGTATAAAAAGAATCACTCAGCGACAATGGCCATGTCTTAACAAGAACAAATGCAAAGAATAAAAGAAAGTATATACTATTATGCGTAAGGGCAAAGTTACATACATAATCTGAGTGCAACAACAGCACAATTAATTCTTGAGTAACTGGATAATGAAGGCTTTGGTTTAAAACCTTTAAAATATTTCCAAGATGTAATTAGCTAATGAATGAATGCCCTTGTTTTGTCACATCAGGAGAACGTTTATAAATTACTTAAGAGTATTGGGATAACATCATAGAAAAATATCTGGGATGGTATAATATAAAGGCTGGGCAATTATTTTAATGGGAGAGTTGCGCAAAAGAACTCAAGTATACAATTTTAGATTGCCTATTAAATGTATATGTCAATATTAAAAAATGAGGGTAATTATAGGACCACCGGAAGCAGACATAGAATTTTATTTTTTTTGGCGGGGACTATGGTCCCAATTGGACAAGGAAAAAAATCATTGCATAATATTCTGAAAATATATTTGTTGGTAATTTTAGGAACACCAGAAGAAAATATAGAATTTTTGTTATTGGGAGGAGTACTCCCAGCCCCATAGTTTCAATTTGATAAGGGATAACCTTGTTTTTTTTGTGATGAAAATATGCATTTTTTTTCCAAAGCCCCCACCTTATGTACAAGCTCTGGCTAAACTACTGGTACATGCTCTCTCATGCACTGGCTAAGCTACTGGCACAAGCTCTCTCATGCCCTAGCTAAGCTACTCGTACAAGCTCTCTCATGCCCTGGCTAAGCTACTGGCACAAGCTCTCTTGTGCCATGGGTAAGCTACTGGAAGGAAATGATTAACCCCTGGTCCAATGTCATTTTGTTTAGATCAAATCATAAGTTTTTTAAAAACAATTTTTGTGATCTAAAAAAACAAACAAACTTCCTTTTGAAACACTGTATTGAGATTAGAACATTTTTAACACTGTATTGAGATTAGAACATTTTTAACACTGTATTGAGATTAGAACATTTTTAACACTGTATTGAGATTAGAACATTTTTAACACTGTATTGAGATGAGAACACTTTTTAACAGCTGCTTGACATCCTGAAGAACACATCAAAACATATGGAAAGCCACCTTTTGCCCAGACTTGACTGGAGACACCATAAAAGTGTCACTGGAAATTAGGACAGGCAGATTTTTCTTTCCTTTAGCTTTCATAGTGTCTCTTCCCAACCAAAAACAGCATGGATTCTGGAACAATGGAACGGTAGAATTAAGGCGGTGCAGCTTAAATAATGAATCAGCTTGATAAAAACAGTATGAGTAATGTAACTTTTGTAATGTTAAAAACAGTATGAGTAATTAACTATTGTAATGTTAAAAATAGTATGAGTAATGTAACTATTGTAATGTTAAAAATTTTTAATGTTCAATATCTTATTTCAATGTCAAAGTTATTATTGGAAACTGAATATTTATTTTAAAAACATCTAAATTCAATTAACCCTATTGCTACCGCTGGGTTTTGTTATTGATTTTTGCTGACTCAGCAATAAAAACTTAAAAGATGAAATTTTTGGTATATTTCATTCTCTATCCGATTGGCTTTTTAACTTGTCTATAGATTAACAAATAAGGAAATATATAACATATTGAACTATGACATCTTTGGTATTTCAGAAAAGTTCTTTGACTTTTTGTTATGACGACAATGTGATGTCCTTGGTAATTGAAAGTGGGTGATCGTGACATCGACATCATCGGTAGCCAAGTGGTTAAGACGAATTAAAAGATGGGATTACAACAGCTGTTTACAATTGAAAAAATCAGAAAAATCCACCTACACATTAATTAAGTTCTCTTACACCCCATTTAAGATTGTCAATAAAAATCCTGCAATCATTAGGAGCAGTGTCCATGCCAAAGATTATTACAACAATGGTTGGATTATATTACTAATACTGTGCATGGTTGATTGTTGCAGAAATTTTTTTTCCATAACATGAAATTCCTCTAAATTAAAATTTTACCAACAACCCTTAGAACTTTAGATAATAACTGAAGGACTGCATTCAAGCTATGTGAATGAAATAGTAATAATAATAATAATAATAATAAAGTTCATTTCAAAAACACGCTTCATCCCCAAAGGCTCGAAGCGCGGTACAAAGTCAACAAAAAACATATCTATATTCACCACATTTAAAACAAACGCAACACTACAAAAACTAATTACAAGCATACAATCTCAAAGTCTTTCTAGCCATTTCAACCCGGAGCAACACAGCCATCATGCATTAACTGGAAAATAAGGTAGACAATCATCCCAGAAGGTATTTGCGAAATAGATGTGTCTTTAGATCGGTTTTAAAGGACTCCAGTGTCTGGTTGTTTCTAAGATCGACAAGGTATGTTGAAGCTTGAATCAAAAGTCAGGACAATAGGATGAACCATTCGGCTTAGAGCCTTCTTCAGCGAACGGAACAAATCGAAGTAAGACAAGAAACAGAGCACAGTAAAAAGCCTGATCTCCTTTGTTGTTGTCAGAAGTAGGAATACAGGAAGTGAAAGGATATAACTACTGGTTCTGAAAAATATGGAAGAGAATCTTAACGGACCAAAATATTTAGGGCTACATAAAGTCTAAGGAATAAGAAAAAAAGAAGAAACAAAGGGGAAATTGAGCAACATTTGTAGGAGAGCTTTTGATTAATACCATGTGGAGATATGGTGCCCAAAAGCTTAATAACCTTAACATCACACTTGAAAACTGCTATAATCAGTTGAAATAGACAAGCCGATTTTTTTGATTTTTTAAAAAATTAAAGCCAGCAACATTTAAGGACAACAAGATGTAAACAAACTGCATGACCCTGAATTTTAAGAGCACTCTCACCAGCATATGTTTTGGGCATGACTCTCGGGAGGTTGGGGACCCCTGTGTCGAAAGTGAAGTGAAAGTCGTTGGTGGTCTCTCTTGTTCCTTTCTCTGGATCCACAACCTCTGCATGGACGTGGACTTGGATATCTGAACCTTTCGTGTACACAATCTGGTGGGATGATTGGATGAGACAAATTGTGTCATGATGTGTAATCAGAGTTTTGATCAGACAGATGTGTGACACATTTGACAAAATAATTAACTGAACAAATTTAATGTGAAGAATTATTAAAAGGATACAAAAATATATTTACAAAAACATTTTTTTTTAACAGCATCTTCAGATAATAGATAAGTTTTTGTGGTGTAGTCTACTTTTACATCATAAGTGGATTTGTCTGTCTGGCCTGCTTCATTTTGTTTCAAAGCAATATCAACTGGTTATCATGGAACATAGATTAATACATTATTTAAGTATTAAACTTAGAGAAAGTTTATTCCAGCAATTGACACGAAGAAACGAAAAACACTCGCCTGAGAGGACAAAAACAGGAGTGAGCCGATTTCCACAGGTCTTTTGAAGACAATGTCATCCACTATTTTACACATATTTGGTCTGGTGTTGCTGTATGACATATACATATAAATATATATATATAAATGTGATATTTACATGTCTTTGATACACATAAATGATATAAATATACATGATACATATATATATTTACACACACACACACAAACACATATATATTGTTTAACATTATCCATTGAAGATATTGCTACAATTTTAAATAGATTGAAATAATTTTTTTGATTAGTTATTGCAGCCATAAATATGTTTTGAAAAGGTAAACGGGTTGAGGGGGGGTGGGGGGTTGTCTGACACTGGCTTGCTCTACTCTACCAGCCAGGTATCCTTATCCATCACTCTTAAGTTGCTAACACTGCTGCTTTTAGACAGAATTTGAAACGCTGCCAAGAGGCTCAATGGTACAAATACACTTAGATTGGTACAAATGTCTTCTAGAAAATCATTCCTTCAAACCTGTGTTCAATGTCTTTGATTCCTTAACCCCGGGGTGGCAAAAATTCTTTTTTTTTTGAGTGAGGAGCCATTTATTTTTATAAATATCTGTTTAGAAAACACTTTGAGAGCTGCAATCATAATAAGTTAGTTTTTTGTTTTTTAAACGTATCTATTACTTAAAAGATCAGTATGCAGCTCTATAGATGTGGGTTGCTGACCACAATGGGTTGCTGACCCTGGTGGGTTGCTGTGGGTTTCTGACCACTGTGGGTTTTTGACCACGGTGGGCTGCTGACCACGGTGGGCTGCTGACCACTGTGGGTTGCTGACCATGGTGGGTTGCAAACCATGGTGGGTTGCTGACCCTGGTGGGTTGCTGAACATGGTGGGTTTCTGACCACAGTGGGTTTTTGACAATGGTAGGTGCTGACCAGGTCAAGTGACCATGGTGGGTTGCTTATCATGGGGTGGACTGCGAACCATGATGGGTTGCTGACCATGGAGGGTTGTGAACCACAGTGGGTTGCTGAACCTGGTGGGTTTCTGACCACTTTGGGTTTCTAACCACGGTGGGATGCTGACCACCTAACACCAATTAGATGCTGTGATAAAAACGCTTCTTTCAAATAAAAATTATGTTCAACTTACGCATAAATGGATGCGTTGGCCCACGCCAGCTCATAAGCCTTTCTCATCAGGAAGCCACCAAATATTTTGTTGTACAGATTTCTTTGCTGTGGACAGAGACAGTGGGACAAACAAGGAATGCATCAATTTGTTGCATCAATTTGTTGCATCAATTTGTTACATCAATTTGTTACAGAGGGAAACAACAAAATGCCAACAATTATTGATGACCATTGGGTTTCGGAGAGCCGCCTGGCCACCAGGGAAAAGAGCCGGGTGGCCAATCCCTCTGGGGCATTTCCGATTGGTTGCCACCATTTTCTTAAGTGTCTGTAGTTTTAAAGATAATATGTCCCTTCCCTTTCTGTGCTTGTCGGAACGGCCTAACAGCCGATTGGCTGATCACATGCAGTGTGGACACACCTATTTCAGCCGGCCTAAAGAGCCGATTGGCTGACCCCATGCAGTGTGGACACACCTATTTCAGCCGGCCTAAAGAGCCAATTGGCTGACCCCATGCAGTGTGGACACACCTATTTCAGCCGGCCTAAAGAGCCGATTGGCTGACCCCATGCAGTGTGGAAACACCTATTTCAGCCGGCCTAAAGAGCCAATTGGCTGACCCCATGCAGTGTGGACACACCTATTTCAGCCGGCCTAAAGAGCCAATTGGCTGATCACATGCACTGTGGACACCTATTTCAGCCGGCCTAAAGAGCCGATTGGCTGATCACATGCAGTGTGGACACACCTATTTCAGCCGGCCTAAACATCCGATTGGCTGATCACATGCAGTGTGGACACACCTATTTCAGCCGGCCTAAACAGCCGATTGGCTGATCACATGCAGTGTGGACACACCTATTTCCACCTTTGATTTTCCAGACTCTATATCACAAGTTTGCTGATTTATGTTTTCTAAACTCAAAATTATTTCAGTCTCAACTTGTGTTTCTTGCTTGTTGTTGGTCCATCCCATGCAAGATGTCTCAGTCTCAACTTGTGTTTCTTGCTTGTTGTTGGTCCATTCCATGCAAGATGTCTCAGTCTTAACTTGTGTTTCTTGCTTGTTGTTGGTCCATCCCATGCAAGATGTCTCAGTCTCATCTTGTGTTTCTTGCTTGTTGTTGGTCCATCCCATGCAAGATGTCTCAGTCTCAACTTGTGTTTCTTGCTTGTTGTTGGTCCATTCCATGCAAGATGTCTCAGTCTCAACTTGTGTTTCTTGCTTGTTGTTGGTCCATCCCATGCAAGATGCAAGCTTTTGTCCTATTTTTAAAAGCATGCCCGCGCGAAAGGCACACGTGTATTGGGTTCCTTAGTGGTAATGGAGATATTTACTTAACATTTTAAGAGCTTATAAAGGAGTTTCATTCAATTACAGGAAATAATTAAGCCCACTCTGGCATCAAGGCGGATTTGTTTTATTAACTAATTACACGAGTGTTGGACTGCCATAAAGCTTTAAAGTAGATTAAGTAGAGACAAAAAATTTGTCACAATAAACAATATATGTTCAGCTTTAATGGTGATTATGCAAAATACAAAGGCTGCAGCTATTCGGACCCGGGTCCGTGAAGTGAAAGTTTGGGTTTATTAAAAAATATCGGTATTTTAAAATTATTGTAGGGTTTGTAGACAAAATTTGGTATCAAATAAAAGATAATTGAATGGGCTATATGCTTGTAAACTGACTTCTTCAAAATGGAACCGGAAACGCACCTCTGCTATTCGGACCAGGGTCCCATTAGACTAAATACTATTCGGATGTCGTTTGTGGTAGTTTATGTAAGTTCAACTGAAGAAGTAAGTTTACAAGCATATAGTCCATTCAATAATAATTTTTTTTTTAAATTTTAATCCCAACCTCCCTTCTCGGACCCGGGTCCGAATGGCCGCTTCGAAATACAAATGTAGACGTTTTGGTAAATGCCTTCATCAGTACAAAAAAACAAAACATTTATATAAGTATAAATTAAAGTTTTTTGCACTGATGAAGGCATTTGCTGAAACGTCTACATTAAAGCTAAATTAATCTACATTTGTTTCAATCTTGACTCATGGTTTTGTTGCCTTTTGGATTATCTATTTCCGATGGCTGTAACTTAACTTTCTGCATAATAACAGAACTTTTAGCATTACACAATGTTCTGCAACCAAGGCTGAAATGGCACATGCAAGAAACAAAAACATTTGGTATATATCTTACCCAAAACATTCCTCACTTTCCATTTGAATTTTTTCTCTCCTCCCTTTTGTCTTTCCATCTCCATTTAAATGGCAGTGAGCAATTGTATTTTACCAGAAGTGGGTTTGGGGGGGTGGGGGGGGGAGGGGAGGGGGGCGGCGGTAACATCATATTTACCTCTGGGTGGCAAATGATGAGAGATTTCTTGATGGTTTCATCCATCCATACCGTGTTCTCTGGTTTAACTCTAATTTTGAAGGTACCTGCCCTGTTATAATGAGGAATTAACAAATGTTAGACTCGAAAATCAACGTAATTTAAAACAAATTTGGTGTCACGTTTGATATATTTACTTTAGCAGTTTAAATAGTTTACATATTTTTAATAATTGTAAAGCGCTTAGAGCTGTAAGGTAAGCGCCTAAATAAATAAATATATGACTAATAATGCACCGCTATAGCTTAAAGCAGTGATGTTGCAAAATCTAGTACTAGTAGCAGTGTAAGTAGATTTGTCAAGTATAAATGAATAAATGATTGTACTTTCTTAAAAATTGTGTTAACTGCAGTACAATCTCTAAATCACATCACAATCTCTAAATCACACCACGATCTCTAAATCATACCACAATCTCTAAATCATACAAATCAACTAGCCATGACATTGTATGGCATATTTTGATTTTAACAATATTTTTAAATTCATTTAAGGTGAGTGGGAGCATCATAGTCCGTCTAAAATATTGACAGTACAGGGCATAGAATAGAAGAACCAAATAACAGCCACAGCATGAACAATATGTTAACAACCACGGTTAGAAAAAACCCATGTTTAAATTAAGCTACCCTTTTTTTGTTACTATTTCACCATCAATTTACTAACTTGAGATCCACTGTGGATAGGAACAAGTCATGGATGGTGAGTCGTTCATCTTCAGTCGGGGGCGTTTTGAGTAGGGATTTCACCCCTTCCCTCTGTCGCGTTTTTTTGCTTTCTGTAACAAGCCACAGAACAAAGTAGGTATAAATATTTTTGTAACAAACCACAGAACAAAGTAGGAATAAATAATTTTGTAACAAACCACAAAACAAAGTAGGTATAAATCATTCTGTAACAAACCACAAAACAAAGTAGGTACAAATCAATGTAGCTGAAATTAGTCACATTAATTTTTAAATATATCAGTTACGTTGATATCTTTGCTAGAGAAGTGTACAACAAATTTAACATCAATTATGATGATATCTTTGATGAAGAAGTGTACAACAAATTTAACATCAATTATGATGATATCTTTGATGAAGAAGTGTACATCAGATTTAACATCAATTATGATGATATCTGATGAAGAAGTGTACATCAGATTTAACATCAATTATGATATCTTTGATGAAGAAGTGTACATCAGATTTAACAACAACTATGATGACATCTTTGCTAAAGAACAGCACATCAGATTCAACATACCTTTTGTGTGGATATATTTGATAAAAGAAGTGTACCAGATTTTATAATGATCAAGAACTAGCACTCAAACAGTGAGTTATAGGCCATACAAGCTTACACTTTGAGGGCACGGCTTGTTTACTTCAAAACTGGCTGCTAGTCAATAGTTCTTATATTTATCTTACCAAGAGTTGGAATAACTCAAAATATTATCATAATAAGTCATTTAACCATCTTCCCCCTCAGAAGGAAAAGTTGATTCACTCACCTAACCCTTAAGTAACAGCATATTCACTCACCTTCCCCCAGTTGGAACAGTTCAATTTCTTCTGGAGTTTGTGGATCTAATGGATTGACCACACCTGCTCTGAAATATAGTAGAAGAAGTAGGCTATTGTAAAAACGTTGAAATATTTTTAACATAATATCAGTCTTCTGAATTCAGCATCTTCTTAATGTAGGCTGTCAGTATAAAATAACACTCAAAAACTGTAATGTGATTAAAGCCTCAGGATTCATAAATAAGACATCTCTTTAAAAACACAACATTCACTGTTATTGAAACAAATCAAACATTTGTGGCATTATTTACATCTGCATACATCAATATTATTGTGATTAATTGGAGATGTACTTTATTTATATGTGCATAAATCAATAGTTTTGCGATTATTTGGTGATGTTCTTCATTTATACCTGTAGCTTTATAATCTTTTAAAATTTAATTTGGTGACCAGTAAACATTATCTTTGATACAGTTCCAGAATATGTTTTTTTTTAGGTTAACAAAAGGTCAAAGTTCAACAGTATGAGGAATGAAAAGTGCAGGTGAAATTAACAAAAGTTCATAGTAAGAACCGAAAAAACCTTTGTTTTATGAATTTAATTGTTCATAAAGAAACATGCAACACCTACAAAAACATGATTACTTTTTGACCCTGGCTTGTGAGTGATGTGTTTACTTTTTGACACTGGCTTGTGAGTGATATATTTACAAGTACATTGTACTGACCAAATGTTATCAGGGTTCACTATTTACTGTCAGGACATGATGGACCTGCTTACCAGATAAAACCAAGACAAAAAAAGCACAGCTAGACATTTCCTGTACCACAACAGTCAACAAGCAAACTTACGTGTCTGTTTCAGGGTTCCTGGCCACAAACAAGTATTTGGCTGTGATCACTTTTTGTAAGGCCCCATCGAACTCCTGGAACATGATCAATTAGTTTGATACCATTACACGCCCCATAAATTTACCAGAGGAAATTAAAACTATATAGTTGACTTCAAATGTGTTTCATTTTAAAGAAATTATTTTAAATTACTTTTGATAACACTCATAAAAATGCAAAGTTATTATATTCTTAAAATATTTTTATTTGCAGATTTAAAGCATTGGTTCTCAAACTTTTTCGTCCACCGCCCCCTTGAGGCCACAAACACATCCCTAACGCCCCTTATCTTAACTCATTAAAGAAGTTGTTCAGAATAGAAGTTGTGCACAATATGGACAATTATAGAATCATGACATGAAAAATTGTAACATATCTTTGAATCTTTTACAAATAAAGTTGATTTTCTTCATTCAACGATTCCACGGCCACAACTTTTAAAGGGGAATAATTCTAAATCCAGACTTTTTTTATACTGCACTTAATATTAGCAGCTAACTTTTATTCACTGTTCAATTGCTCTTAAAGCCTTGGATGCCCTTTGTGAAGTGATATCAGTTTTTCAATGTTCGGTTGAAAGTCACTGACATGACTCTTAAACCGTCTGGCTCAGTGATCTGGGGACTATTTCTTTGCTAGGAGCAAAATTAAACAACCATGCTAAAACCACTTACCACAGAGGTTGGAAACATCTGTGTTTTTCAAAAAATTCCACTACAGTTTCCAACAACTTGTAAGAGCGATTCAAACACTTGCCTTTTGGTAGCTATAGAACTTCAGTGTGCAGCACCAGATGTTGAACATCTTCATCCTGCTCAGCACAGAGCTTCCTAATCAGCTCATCGTTGGTAGCGTGGGCTTTTATTTAACTCACACCATTAATGTCGGTGTTCAACGACTGGTGTTAGTGGTCACTGAGTTTCTTTTAGCGACCAGATGTTGGTGATGAATGACGCAATAAATAGTGTCAATAAAAAAAAGTTAGCTGTCATTGTTTCTTTGTTCTCCAATTCAAAAAAAAACAAACCAACAACCTGTCTTTGTTATTCTCAATGTTTTATTTAATAATAACACAATAAAGACATAATTGGTTCTCCTAATGTTGAGCGCAGAGACATAATTGGTTCTCCTAATGTTGAGCTCAGAGACATAAGTGGTTCGCCTAATGTTGAGCTCAGAGACATAAGTGGTTCGCCTAATGTTGAGCTCAGAGACATAATTGGTTTTCCTAATGTTGAGCTCAGAGACATACGTGGTTCTCCTAATGTTGAACTCAGAGACATAAGTGGTTCGCCTAATGTTGAGCTCAGAGACATAAGTGGTTCTCCTAATGTTGAACTCAGAGACACAAGTGGTTCTCCTAATGTTGAGCTCAGAGACATAAGTGGTTCTCCTAATGCTGAGCTCAGAGACACAAGTGGTTCTCCTAATGTTGAGCTCAGAGACATAAGTGGTTCTCCTAATGTTGAGCTCAGAGACATAATTGGCTCTCCTAATGTTGAGCTCAGAGACATAAGTGGTTCTCCTAATGTTGAGCTCATAGACACAAGTGGTTCACCTAATGTTGAGCTCAGAGACATAAGTGGTTCTCCTAATGTTGAGCTCAGAGACATAAAAGGTTCGCCTAATGTTGAGCTCATAGACACAAGTGGTTCACCTAATGTTGAGCTCAGAGACATAAGTGGTTCTCGTAATCCTGAGCTCAGAGACATAAGTGGTTCTCCTAATGTTGAGCTAAGAGACATAAGTGGTTCTCCTAATGTTGAGCTCAGAGACATACGTGGTTCTCCTAATGTTGAACTCAGAGACATAAGTGGTTCGCCTAATGTTGAGCTCAGAGACATAAGTGGTTCTCCTAATGTTGAACTCAGAGACACAAGTGGTTCTCCTAATGTTGAGCTCAGAGACATAAGTGGTTCTCCTAATGCTGAGCTCAGAGACACAAGTGGTTCTCCTAATGTTGAGCTCAGAGACATAAGTGGTTCTCCTAATGTTGAGCTCAGAGACATAATTGGCTCTCCTAATGTTGAGCTCAGAGACATAAGTGGTTCTCCTAATCTCATAGACACAAGTGGTTCACCTAATGTTGAGCTCAGAGACATAAGTGGTTCTCGTAATCCTGAGCTCAGAGACATAAGTGGTTCTCCTAATGTTGAGCTAAGAGACATAAGTGGTTCTCCTAATGCTGAGCTCAGAGACATAAGTGGTTCTCCTAATGTTGAGCTCAGAGACATAAGTGGTTCTCCTAATGTTGAGCTCAGAGACATAAGTGGTTCTCCTAATGTTGAGCTCATAGACACAAGTGGTTCACCTAATGTTGAGCTCAGAGACATAAGTGGTTCTCCTAATGTTGAGCTCAGAGACATAAAAGGTTCGCCTAATGTTGAGCTCATAGACACAAGTGGTTCACCTAATGTTGAGCTCAGAGACATAAGTGGTTCTCGTAATCCTGAGCTCAGAGACATAAGTGGTTCTCCTAATGTTGAGCTCAGAGACATAAGTGGTTCTCCTAATGCTGAGCTCAGAGACATAAGTGGTTCTCCTAATGTTGAGCTCAGAGACATAAGTGCTTCTCCTAATGTTGAGCTCAGAGACATAAGTGGTTCTCCTAATGTTGAGCTCAGAGACATAAGTGGTTCTCTGTTGAGTATGGGTGTTCATTAATAAATGTTGCGATTGAATATTATGTTTGATTGCGTGTGGTGTGTGTTTGAGAGTTTTATTAGAGAGTGAAAGCTTTTCCTGCGCTTGACTTGATGACAGTATTTTTATGCCTATTATGACATTTTGTCTAGTCGGTTTTGTGACATACGTTCATCTGGCAGTCTTGAAAGGAAATTTGTGAAAGGAGGTTGTGTTTTATTTTCTGTCTGATAGCCAGCTGAGCTATACATGTGTATATGGAATTAACAATCTGTGAAGTTACATTATATATTAAAGTTATATTTTTTATGAAAAAGGACTTTAGTTGATTCAGTGCTAGTATTACAATGTGTGAAAGAACTTGATGAATAATCCAATCAAGTGTACAGAGGAGTTTGACATTCTCCTAATGCTGCGGTCAGAGACATCACACAGGATATTGGTTATTTATTTTCCGCCATCTTGGAATCAATGGTTCCGCCATCTTGGAATCAATGGATCCCCCATCTTGGAATCAATGGATCCGCCATCTTGGTATCAATGGATCTGCCATATTGGAATCAATGGATCCGCCATCTTGGAATCAATGGATCCGCCATCTTGGAATCAATGGATCCGCCATCTTATATTATGGATGATGGGATCAAAGCAACAAACCAAAGATAATTCAGCTCCAGATATTATGATCTTCCATAAAATCCAGGAGCTCTGTCTGAACAGAAAGCCCATACTCTGTTCCAAGAACATATAGTCTGAGTGAGTTGGGACTATTTTGATATGTAACATATAGGCTGAGTGAGTTGGGACTATTTTGATATGTAACATACAGTCTGAGTGAGTTGGGACTATTTTGATATGTAACATATAGTCTGAGTGAGTTGGGACTATTTTGATATGTAACATATAGCATGAGTGAGTTGGGACTGTTTGATATGTAACATATCGCCTGAGTGAGTTGGGACTATTTTGATATGTAACATATAGTCTGAGCAAATTTAGGATTGTTCTTTGATGAAAATCACAGCTTGAGTGGTGAATCCATTTTATGACTGAGGTCATTTATGAAGCTTAGTAGTGGCTAATTCAGCATAAAAAATATTGCTCAGTACCAGCAGATAAAGTTTAAGAAATAGCAGCAAGAAGGAAATGTTGATGACTATCCTGTGGGAATGTGGTCGAGAAGCTCCTTATTTGATTCCCAACATTGCATATGCTGGAAGTGGTTGTAGCGCGAAGGTCCAATTGTGCTCCAAGCAATGAAAAGACGTACAGACATAGCGAATTAAGTCTCTGCTTGGAGACTTTACACCAGACATTGAACAACTGCCAATCATTTTACCAAGCCCGTAGATATCATTTAAGAATAATGGACGAGTGAAGACTTAAGATGTCTCTAAAAAAATACCAGAGGAATCACTCGATCTAATGAGTCTGTTTATTATTGAACTTATTAAGAGTAAGAAAGATAATGTATTTTGATTACATACCCGATACCACAATATATTTCAAACTTTAAAATGTCATTGTGTAAATTTCTTCAGTAGAATATTGTGCAAACTATTGTTCTTAGTGCACTTAAAACTAGTTCAGATAGAAGACATTAAGAATGAGTTTATATCTCCAAGGGGGAGGTGATCGGAAAAAGTTTGAGAACCCCTGGTACAGACCTTTGCACAATCAGAATATTATAGACCATTGCACAATCAGAATATTATAGACCATTGCACAATCAGAATATTATAGACCATTACACAATCTGAATATTATAGACCATTGCACAATCAGAATATTACAGACCATTGCACAATCAGAATATTATAGACCATTACACAATCTGAATATTATAGACCATTGCCATAACAGAAATATTATAGACCATTGCACACAATGAATATTATAAACCATTGCACACAGAATATTATAGATCATTGCAGTCGCAAATTTTCACAGAACACTCAAGCTTTTCATGGAATGAATTGAAAAAAAAAAAAAAGAAACAAATATTTTTTAGCCAAAAGAAATAAAGGAAAAAAAACCCCCCCCCCCCCCCCACCAATAAAATCATGCCTACCTGCTCCAGGTGCATGGTACACTCCATGGAGGATCTACCCACCCAGGTGACCTGTCCTTTCAGGTAGATATCCTTGACCCTTCCCCCACCACCAATAAAATCATGCCTACCTGCTCCAGGTGCATGGTACACTCCATGGAGGATCTACCCACCCAGGTGACCTGCCCTTTCAGGTATATATCCTTAAAGGGTGAAAGTTGAGGCTTAGACGGGGAAGTGGCTGATGAAAAGACATAAAAGAAAAATTGCCTTCCCCACTTGATTCATTTTGTCGTTAAAATTACTTTTGACACAACTTTGTACGGGGAATATCCCTAAATTTTTAATTTTTTAAACATTATTTTAAGAAAGAGTCCAAAAGGGAAATAAATTTGTGTCAAGGCTATTGGTAATTAAGACCTCCTCTTTGTGCTGTATTCCTGCTATTATGGGTAGTTGAAATGGCCAAAGGTGGCGGAATTTCTAATTTCATTAAAATAATTTTTTTTTGCAAAGTAAAGGTTGTGAAAATCAAATACTTCATATTATTACAATGCTCCATTCTTTGTTAAGAAATTTTGTAGAAAATATAAATGAACTTCTCCATAATTTCATTTGTTCTTAAAAAAGATATTTGTATTTAGAGTCGGCACATTAGAAAGTGTTAAATACCGGTCCTACGAATATCAGATTAGTTACAAGCACATACCTATCCTGTCAACCAATGCCGTAACAAATGCGTACGGTGACTTCTGGTCATCTCCAAGTGCTGGATTTTTGTTGTGGTTGTAACATATCAAACCTGCATCATGAGACAATGCACAGACATAGTTGAATTAAATATCAGTCAAACCTGCATCACAAGACAATGCATAGCCATAGTTGAATTAAATATCAGTCAAACCTGCATCACGAGACAATGCATAGCCATAGTTGAATTAAATATCAGACAAACCTGCATCACGAGACAATGCATAGCCATAGTTGAATTAAATATCAGTCAAACCTGCATCACGAGACAATGCATAGCATAGTTGAATTAAATATCAGTCAAACCTGCATCACGAGAGAATGCATAGCCATAGTTGAATGGAATATTAATCAAGAAATTTAGTCAACTCTTGTCATGTACAAGGTAGGTCAATAACCATGAAAGGTATTTGGGAGAAGGTGAACTGACTTCATTAGGGGAGAGGTGGTTTTGGAAGCTTTGGTCCTTTACACAAATGTATAGCAATTATTCTGGCTTTGCCAGTGACTTACTTTTTAACAACTAAAATTTAATGGCTAACCGCTGGTTCTCCACATTAAAGGGAGACCATTCGGTTTGGACTGTTATTTTTCAAAATAGATGTCCTGGTGCAATTTTTCTTTGTTGGATCAATTCCCCTTGATTTTTCCCAGAAATTCCAGGAATGAGGAATATAACAGCGCCACCATCTGCCAAATCCGTTTGAGACACAAGATCAGTGCATCTCAACATGTACAATGCTTCAAAATGATGTTCTTATGAACAATTTCATTCATACCAGTTGGTGGATGAACAAGAATCTCTGTGTTAGTGGATGCTGGGTTTCTTGTGCACAGTAGTCCAATCATGAACAAATGAAACATATTGAATAAATAACATAAATTGGATGACAAGCAACTAACAAAAAGTGGATAATCCACTATTATCTAGTGCAGTGGTTCTCTAGGGCCCCATATGCACGGCTCCCCCGACCCCCATGCACGGCTCCCCCGACCCCCATAACACTACTCCTATACTCAATTTGTAAGACCTAAAGGGACTCAACGATAATAATTTATTCTAAAATGGTCAAAAAGGCTGGGGATAACTGACTTGGCGGATGATTAAACATGAACATGTAGGTCAATAAATAAAACTAAAATGTACAGCACTATCACCAACCACCACCTCACACATTTTATTGACAGCACTATCACCAACCATCTCACACATTTTAATGTTTGGTTACTTAAATTTTACTTCTTTAAATATACATGAGCACACGTAACCTGTTCAACCAAATGAAAAACCATCCATCTTATTTTGAAAACTGTCTCTTGGACTCAATTGCAATCTAACAATCAAGTTATAGACCAGGGGCCCTCAAACTACAGCCTTTGAGCCAGATCCTTCCACCGTGGGTCCCTAATTCTGCCAGCATGGCCACCGTAAAGGTACATGGAAATGACAAAAATAGGGCTGATGTATGATCATATCCCTTTGAAATACTATTAAAGTTTTTTTTCTCACTACGTATGAGATATGTGCAGGGTGCATAGAATTCGTTCATATGTTTTGAAAACTATAACATGCCCCCAAACAGTGTCTGAGGGATGGTGATGTGGCCCCCTTGTTTGAGGACCCTTGCTCTAGACAGTGATTTCCCCAACTACTCCCTGACCCTCACCTGCCAGGGTGTCGAAGTCTTCCAGCAGACGACCGAACCGGATTTTTTTGGTGTAGGTTATGTACTTGTCCCTGGCATCTACCTCACTCAGGGGAATAATGGCCTGGACAAAGCTGTCGCTAGGCTTGCGCTTGGGAAGTTCGGCCTGTGACGTGGCCACCTTCTGCATCACTTGGTTTGGTATAATCTCTGACCTGCAGATTGGTTTGGGAAGATATATTATTATTTTGATATCAGAGGACATTTTTTCCAGTTATGCAACATACAATTTTAGAGACAATGTTTGCCTGCCATTAAATGACCAAATAGAAGAAAAGAAAAAAGATTATGCTTGCTAATATTTTTATGTACAGGGCGGTGATGCTTGCTGGGGCACCGGGTGATGCTTGCTGGGGCACCGGTGATGCTTTCTGGGGCAACGGTGATGCTTGCTGGGGCACTGGATTATGCTTGCTGGGGCACCGGATGATGCTTGCTGGGGCACCGGGTGATGCTTGCTGGGGCACCACGGCATGCTTGCTGGGGCACGTGGTGATGCTTGCTGGGGCACCGGGTGATGCTTGCTGGGGCACCGGGTGATGCTTGCTGGGGCACCGCGGTGATGCTTGCTGGGGCATCGGGTGATGCTTGCTGGGCCAGCGCGGTGATGGTTGCTGGGGCACCGCGGTGATGATTGCTGGGGCACCACGGGTATGCTTGCTGGGGCACCGGATGATGCTTGCTGGGGCACCACGGTGATGCTTGCTGGGGCACCGGGTGATGCTTGCTGGGGCACCGCGGTGATGCTTGCTGGGGCACCGCAGTGATGCTTGCTGGGGCACTGGGGTGATGCTTGCTGGGGCACCGCGGTGATGCTTACTGGGGCACCGAGCTATATAAGACCACTAATAATAATAATAATAATATTAACTGAAAAATTTTAGAGAGAATTTGTGCCTGATATGAAATGTACGCAAATTTGAGATTATTCTCTCCAAATCCACTGTATGTAAGAGTTACTTTTTCAGGACATCAGGTCCACTGCCTAGATTCAACACACAAACCTTACAACATGATTTGGTCTATTCTTTAACACCTACGTTCTTGGTCTATCTGGGGCCTGTATTCTAACAAACTATTATCTTCTGTAAGCAACTGTGAGACCAACATTCTAAAGTTACCCTGTTTTGTGGTGAGACCAAAATAGTAAAGTTACCCTGTTTTGTGGTGAGACCAACATATTGAAGTTACCCTGTTTTATGGTGAGACCAACATTCTAAAAATACCCTGTCTTATGGTGAGACCAACATATTTAAGTTACACTGTTTTATGGTGAGACCAACATTCTAAAAATACCCTGTCTTATGGTGAGACCAACATATTTAAGTTACACTGTTTTATGGTGAGACCAACATACTAAAGTTATCCTGTTTTATGGTGAGATCAACATACTAAAGTTACCCTTTTTTATGGTGAGACCAACATACTAAAGTTATCCTGTTTTATGGTGAGACCAACATACTAAAGTGACCCTGTTTTATGGTGAGACCAACATACTAAAGTTACCCTGTTTAGTGGTGAGACCTACTAATTACCTTCCTGTTAAGGAATCACAATGCTTTATTGTTTTAACACAAGGACATCTAAAAGCATTACCGGTCCTGAAGTCTACAAATTGATTTTTGTACATGGTGAAAATTGTACACATTTAATAAATTTATTTTACACAATATTGCTTTCTACCACTAGTGGATCAAAGATTTTGTAAGGGATGGTTTTCTGTGTTTGTAAAGATATTGATAGCTCTGTACTGAAGAATCTTATCACACACCTCTCCATATTCCTTATTCCTGGGTTAATTCTAGATATTCCCAAATGCTCTTCAGATATTCCCCATGCTCTTTAGATACTCCCCAAGCTCTTTAACACAAGTAAGTAATTTCTAATTAACTCATTCAGAGGTTGTATTAATGTGACCACTTACACCCATTGTTTACGAAAGCCAACCATATGCATCAGATCATCTCGTACTGAAAAAACAAGAGACAGAATTGATAAATTTGAGAATAAACATTTGCAAATTTAATTTTTAAAATATTTAATACAAGAAACAGGGCCAACGTACATTTTTAAAATATTTTTGCCCTTAAATTTAGTTACAGGATCGTCAACTCAAAAATAATCCAATTTACCAAGAAATATTCTAAACTTGCCCATTTTATGGTCAAACTGAATTTTTAACAAAATAAACTTACGAGGCAAAAAAAAAAGAAAAGAAAAAAAAAAGGAAAATCCCTAAGAATATGTTATGTTTGTGTATGGCTCTATGTCATTTGACCTCTTTTATTAGGTCATTCAATGGATAACATTCTCCCAAGTGTTGAACTTTGTCTAATTAGGATCATAAGCTTGAAAATAAGAAGAACTGCCAAAAGTTAAGATGTCAGTGGGTTTTTATTTGCTTCAAAAAGATTTTGTTCAGTGCCTCATTTTTTACAGTCATCCTAAAATTCTTATGGACATTTAAGGACAAGTCATCTTAGGTCCATTTTTTACAGACATCCTAAAATTATTATGGACATTTAAGGACAAATCATGTTAGGTCCATTTTTTACAGACATCCTAAAATTCTTATGGACATTTAAGTCATCTTAGGTCCATTTTTTACAGACATCCTAAAATTCTTATGGACATTTAAGGCCAAGTCATCTTAGGTCCATATTTTACAGACATCCTAAAATTCTTATGGACATTTAAGGACAAGTCATCTTAGGTCCATTTTTTACAGACATCCTAAAATTCTTATGGACATTTAAGTTATCTTAGGTCCATTTTTTACAGACATCCTAAAATTCTTATGGACATTTAAGGCCAAGTCATCTTAGGTCCATTTTTTACAGACATCCTAAAACTCTTATGGACATTTAAGGACAAGTCATGTTAGGTCCATTTTTTACAGACATCCTAAAATTCTTATGGACTTTTAAGGACACGTCATCTTGGGTCCATTCTTTCAAGGCTGCCCGTAAATTTATGACAGTTGGCAATCTGATACTACATTATGAAGAAATGTCTATACAGATGTTTCTGCAAAAATTGTGTCATATTGTGAGTATGATCCCCTCAGATATCAATTTTCATACTATGTGAGCAACTGTGAGACCAACATACTAAAGTTACACTGTTTTAGAGACCCAGATAATAAAGTTACCCTGTTTTATGGTGAGATCAACACACTACAGTTACCCTGTTTTATGGTGAGACCAACACACTACAGTTACCCTGTTTAATGGTGAGATCAACACACTACAGTTACCCTGTTTTATGGTGAGATCAACACACTACAGTTACCCCGTTTTATGGTGAGATCAACACACTACAGTTACCCTGTTTTATGGTGAGATCAACACACTACAGTTACCCTGTTTTATGGTGAGATCAACACACTACAGTTACCCTGTTTTATGGTGAGATCAACACACTACAGTTACCCTGTTTTATGGTGAGAATCTTTGACCTGTCAACCTGTGTGGAGAACCAGTTGATTGGCATCTCCCTTCTGCACAGTGTCAGACAGTGGCATTTTAGGATTGGGGACATCATCTGTTGGAGGGGAAAAAACATGAAATCATATCAAAAGATTTCATAATCAGACAGCAAGATGTAAAATTCACAATTGAACTCAAGAAATTTGGTCGATGGAAAATTGATAAAGAAAGTTTGGTCTAGCGGAAATTTAGTCAAATAATTTTTTTATTAACACTTGTTGTTAAGTCTTAAAGGTGCGCGTTAGAAATTGGGAGATGTGTTCGAACTGAAGTTTGTTTGAATTTAAACAAAAACAACATTGTACGTTACTTAGCCTAGTTATTTAAACATTGGGGAATTAAGAAAAAATAGAAATACACCTACTAAAAAATAGAAAAAAATGAATGCTTTGATACGTTTTGCTATTATTTCAACATTTTTGTTTAAAGAATATCATAGAATGGCATTTGAATTTTGACTTCCATCGATCAATTTTTCTAATTTCCGTTCACCCCTTAAACCGATCATTAGAGTACATCAATCGATCACAGCACCATTGAATAGACCTTAGCACCAATGAATGGACCTTAGCACCAATGAATGGACCTTAGCACCAATGAATGGACCTTAACACTCATGAATGGACCATAGCACCCATGAATGGACCTTAGCACACATGAATGTATGATAGCACCCATGAATAGATAATAGCACCCATGAATGGATCATAGCACTTATAAATGGATCATAGCACACATGAATGGATTATAGCACCAATGAATGGACCTTGTAATCCATCAATGGACCTTAGGACCCATGAATGGATCTTAGCCCCAATGAATGGACCTTAGCCCCAATGAATGGACCTGAGCACACATGAATGTATGATAGCACCCATGAATAGATAATAGCACCCATGAATGGATCATAGCACTTATGAATGGATCATAGCACACATGAATGGATGATAGCACCCATGAATGGACCTTAGCACCCATGAATGGACCATAGCACCCGAGAATGGACCTTAGCACCCATGAATGGACCTGAGCACATATGAATGGATGATAGCACCCATGAATGGATGATAGCATCCATGAATGGATCATAGCACACATGAATGCTTTATAGCACTCATGAATGGATCATAGCACACATGAATGGTTTATAGCACTCATGAATGGATCATATCACAGTCCAGAAGCACTAAGATATATTTAGGAAGTTAGGCACACTTCTCAGGCTGCATTTACATGGTATATGAAACTCAACACAAGCCACATGCCCATGATATGAAACTCAACACAAGCCACATGCCCATGATATGAAACTCAACACAAGCCACATGCCCATGATATGAAACTCAACACAAGCCACATGCCCATGATATGAAACTCAACACAAGCCACATGCCCATGATATGAAACTCAACACAAGCCACATGCCCATGATATGAAACTCAACACAAGCCACATGCCCATGATATGAAACTCAACACAAGCCACATGCCCATGATATGAAACTCAACACAAGCCACATGCCCATGATATGAAACTCAACACAAGCCACATGCCCATGATATGAAACTCAACACAAGCCACATGCCCATGATATGAAACTCAACACAAGCCACATGCCCATGATATGAAACTCAACACAAGCCACATGCCCATGATATGA